CAAAAAAAAGTAAGACGAAAAATTAACTCGTTCGTTATGTCATCGCCGAATGCAGCGGAACCGAAATCTTCTGACGAAAGATTCGCGCTCTTTTGAAGATATTTTATATCCGCAGACTTTCGATCAGTAAAACTTTCTTAGCACAAATACACAAACGATTTTCAAAGAACGGAAAATTTCCAAGTTTTGCAATTGCGCTCGATAAATTTTCAACCGCGCGAAGATCGTAGTTTCTTCGATGTGTGTGTATGTGTGTGATCGTCTTTTCAGAATAATATAGAAAATTTACTTCTCGTGGATTCGATATTAAATTTTTCTTCCGATCTGACGTAATATCAGACAGAAAATAAGATCTCTCGCAGTTGTAAAAAAGAAAATGCAAAAGACTTCGTCAAAAGAAGTTTGTATGTGTTACTGTCACACGGATTTCTTTATGAGATTGAGAGAAACAATTGATGAGAAAAAAACAATCATTATTACTCGACAGAGATAATATGACAATTACACGAAATAGAAGGACAAGACGAAGATAACAGAACTATCGATAATTAGTACCGTGAGATTATCGGAGAAGATCCAAGATAATCTACAAAGTCTTTGAGAGATTAGATCACATTGTATCAACATTAAGCCGTTTAACGACCGAACGCCAGTGAAATAACAATCGCGACTGAGAATAGAGATCCTGCAAGATCGGATCCTGCACGGACAGTTTAACTCGAACCGAGGACACAAAAGAGAGAAATCGTCCTAGCGGAATAATTATCAGAACAAACAACAGAAGAGAAAGAGAAAGAGAGAGAGAGAGAGAGCCGGGAGAGAATGGCTCGTTTACATCACGGGGATTGGCGCCAGGCGCCGTTGGGTAGAAGGTTGGTTTTCTCCTCGGGATTACATCCTTACAGGATGCGGATCGATGAACGGGACGAACGGCGGCGCCTAGGAGGCGCCTCCGCGTGACGTCGCGACGCTATCCCATCGACAAACATTTTCCTCTGCGTTTGTTTACCTCCCGTCACCCACTCTCGTATATAGAAAGAAGTCCCCGCCAGAGAATCGGCCCACGCATCCTGACCTCTAATCTTGTCGACGCCCTGACACACGAGTTGTGAGAGTTGACAAAATATAGCGAGATAAAAATATACTTAGAGCGCGAAAAACACATAATGTTCCCTAATGTAAAAACTACTTTGCTAAAAAAATATATATATAATAAATATATAAGAAAAAAAAAAAAATATATATATATATATATATATGTAGTTTTTGTTTGTGAAACCAGTTCTCTCGTCTCGTGTCTCTCGCTGCACATAACGTCTTCTCGCCGGAAGTCCGTTAATCGGCTCGTGTTTCACGTCTTTCGCGCGAAATCGTCTTTCTTCTCTTGGTATCAAATGCTCACGGGAGACGTGTAAAGTTTGAACCAACAGAGATACGTAAGGTCTCAAATATAAAAATGTTCTAAATCGAATGACGACTTCATATACATCCGCGTGCTCTCAGTGATTTAATGGAAGATTGAAAACAGCACGGGTGCAGCATATTCGCGGATATTAAATCGACGAATGACAGGTCGTTTCTTGTAAATTTATCGATCGACAACGTGATATTGAAGTAAATAAATAGCAAGGCGCGCGACGACACGCTCAATGACTCTATGACTCCGCAAGAAACTGCAACAAAATAAACAAGAAACAGCTGATGGACTTTTTTTGTCGTGACATTATTACAATGTCAATGCCGCGTTAATCAGCTTAATGGAAACGCGTGGTTCGATTCTCGCCGCGATAACTGGCACACATTTTGCGAACACGAAATGCTCTTCCGTGTGCGTCTCTCTCTCTCTCTTTGCTCCGTTTCGCTTAAGCTGAATAAATTATCAGCGGGCTTCGCGCGTTTCGAGAACAGACACCTGTTAATTAATGTGACATTAACGCGCAAGCGATTCTATTACTTTTCAAATAAACTGCGACAAATCTCCCGATTCCTTTTTTATATGTAAATAGTCAAAAACAGAAACTAAAAAAAACACGTGTGTAAATTGATTAATATAGACATAAAGAAGATACTTCGTATATTCATCTACAAATGTGTTTGTATTAACACTTGAAGATGTTCTTTGGGTTTAAACCACGTTAGTGTCATTTTTATACCGACGTTTCGTGAACATACTTATTATCAGGTTGCTCTTGAAACTCTGATAAAGTGTGAACTGAAATGTTCATGAAACGTTGGTATAAAAATAACATTAACGCGGTTCAAATCCAAAAAAAAAACATCTTCGAATGTTAATACAACACACCGCGAAAGCATCAAATATCAAATGTGTTTGTGTCAATGTCTTTTTTTCAAAGTGCATGTCTTTTTTCAGCATGTTCGTGTTCAGCGGCTAACGTTTCCTCGAAATTACACGACCGTTTCAACATTCTGAATAGAACGGTTGAAAAAAAATCGAGGTCATATCGTCGTCTTAATTCTGACTTCGATCTAGGCGCGAGGCATCGAAGGTGTGAAGCTTCATGTCCACCTAACAGCACCTCGTTGAATGCAAATATTGACTTAACCTTAATCGTACGCGCCGCATGGCGGCGTCCCGTCCAAGTTCAGGAAGGAACACACCAATATTATATACACGGAACGGCAAAAATGAGGTTCTATTAGCTATTCTCGTTGTTCTTGCCACGCTGGGACTTTTTAATTTCAGACGCAATTTTGAAACTTAAATATATTCTTGCGCCAATTAAACTCTCTTACTCGATGGCTTCGTTAAAAAAACATCCCTCCGGAAATTATATATTCCGCGAAGTAAAAATTTGTAATTAATTGCAGCATCGTTTGCTGTGTAATTAACGTCTGATTAAATTCTAGCGTCTTTTTTTTACTCTTCTTAGAGTCAATTTGGCGCGCTAACTTCTATATTCTTGGACTTAATCTCGGAAACAATGCTGAGAATTTTCTTGTTTTTCACAAACCAATTTTCTCGCTCAAATTTCCAGGAATCACCACGATCCAGAACATTATCAGAAGTTAATTGAATATAAACGTAATTGTTAGTTTTGACTCTTATCTTAATTTGCCCCGCAAAGAACTCTCATATTACATCATCATCGTGTCGTGTGTGAGCAAACAAAAAAAATTCCGCTGAAAACAAAAACAGAAATAAATCTCTGGCGTTGCCGCTTTCGCCAGTCCGTGTTAAAGAAAGTGCAATATTTCGTGCGAGATACGAAAAACCTATATATGTACACGAGCACTCGTGATTTCGAGTTTCGAAAGCCGCGAGAGACGTCCGAGCCCCTTAACCACGTCGAGCCGCACGACCGTCGTGTGGCACGTGCTACAACACGTCGCGCGTCGCACATGTCAGCGATGTAATTACGTCACACGGACACAGAAGTAAAGCCGCGGTGAGGAGTGTCGCTCGGCTTTACAGGAGAACATCCCGAGTGCATCCTGAACACGCGATATACAATTTGCCTCTGATTTACAAAGACCAAGAATATTCTCGTTGAACGTAAAAACATATGCAGCTCTTACTTTTCTATCTTTTTGTTTCGTGTACATAGTAAGGACTTTACGTGTCTTTTTTTAAGAGTGAATTATTTCGTTTGAGATCGTTCTCGACGAAGAGATAACGTTGCGAACCTAAATACCCTGTGCGTCGTTACAATCAACAACGAGAAGCAAGCTGTGCAAACTGAACCTCTCGCGAGAAACGATCGTCTGATAAGACATTGTTGTATTTGCATTTATTTGCGCGCAGTGTCCTCTTCTGAGATTTATTTCGCAAAATTGCGAAATACCAGTCGTATTCGCCGTTGATACTTCTAGACAAGCATCTCGGACTTTTTGTCTTACGTGGCTCTACCAGTCGTTTCGAGGAAACGTGTCTCTTCGCGGCCTGACAAAAAAAACGGCTTTTCATACTTTTGCGAGTGCAGTATTTTTCGTATCTCGTTTGCATTTTTTCGAAATAATCCTCGCGATAACACAGACGCGTGTACAATTTTATCGTGATTTATGAAAAAACAATACGTTCAGAATGCGTTTCTTGGTATCAGTCAGACGTGTAAATATCGCCTTCGTTCAACAACGTCCTTCGACGTGCGCCTGTTTCGTAACGATTTAGAAAGAAAGAAAAAAACAACACAAGCTAGGTCACATTATTCAATGAAATTGCGAGATATTATTTCCGTCTTTTTTAATCGAATGACGCAAGTCATAGACACGAATTGCTGATGAAGGATAAATCGTTGACGTGATTTTCCCGGTTCGTCATTACGCGGAATCGTTAACAAAAACTCGTACATCGGTGATAACAATGAGGCGACGCATATCGTTTTCTTTGTGTCAAGATAACGACGGCTCGTTTAAGAGACTCGTGACGACGAAGGATACAACGATAACGCGTTCAAAGGTGCTTTCTTATGCAAAAAAAATAGTACAAAAATCGTTTGAGATCGAAATCGACGTGGCTTTAAATTCACAACGTGTGTACAAATAAGGCAATTAAGCAAACACATATTCAAACATTAAAGCTTGAACAAACTTATCTTCTGTGGCTATTTTTAACCGATTTTAATTCGCGTCTCGAACTTCCTATTTTTGATCAAAGTAAAATTACAAAAAATAAATCGTGAAGAACATTGCGAAGTTTTCTTGTAAAGATGTACTTTGGTAAATCGACATGTCGATTTGATCGTAAACTACGAACATGTAGTACGCACGGAAATCAAGACAAACTGAATTTCTCACTGTGCGAATCTATGTTGATGCTTTTTGCGGAAAACCACAGCACGCACAAATCTCATCGACACATACACGTCTTCTTCTCAGTACAGCAAAATTGTCTACTCGGCGTCGTCTATCGCAGTGGAAACGAGAATGGTACAACTACATCACCGGCATCACCGACCATATTACACACCAGCATTGGTTGCGCACGTACAAGGACGATGCGAACATCACGTTCAAGAGCAAGAGTACAAGCACAAACTGACCTGCAGAAGCACGTGACGGTATCCTCGACATCGATGGAGAGCGACGTCTCGATGGCGGAGTACTTGAGGACCTTCCGATTACCCAGACCGAACATCGGGACGCGGCGGTACCAGGGGGAAGCGGGGAGGTAAGCGAGAGGCATAAAACAGAAGAAGAAGGAGAACGGAAAAAAGATAAGAGGAAAAAGTGAGACAAAAGGAAGAAAAGTACGTACACTCTGTTCCGATCGGTCAGAATCACTTGGCCGTCCGCTAAGCCAGCAACGGAGTACAGACTGACATTGCCGTTCTCCAGATAGGCAGGTAGGTAGTCAGGCAAGCAGGCAGGCAGGCAGGCAGGCAGGCAGGCAGGCAGGCAGGCAGGCAAGCAGGCAGGCAGGCAGGCAGGCAAGCAAGCGAGCAAGCAAGCAGGCAGGCCACCGTTCGCCAGGTACCACCACTGCGCCGCGCGATCGTCCATCGCGGGCAGATAGAGAAAAAGCGGAAGAGAGAGGGAAAGACGCGAATACACCGCAGAGGGAAGGAGGGACCAAAAGGCCTCCATATACTCGTTGTGTTCGGGAGAACGTGGAGGGTATTTGCAGCGGAGAAGACGTGAGGCGAGGAGGAGACATCGGAGAAAGATGACCCGAGAGAGACAGAGAAGAAAAGAGAGAGCATCAGGGGCTTCTTCTCGAAGTACAACGTCGTTCGTCGCTGTTTCTCTTCTTTTCTTCTCGTTGTTCTTTTCTTTTTTTTCTCTCTCTCTCTTTCTCTCTCTGTTCTCATAATGACGAGAATTCGTCGTAATGCAATTAACGACTGACCGAAACGAAACCGAACAAGTTTTATTAACACGCCGCAACGCGAGATCGTCGCAACTGAAGACGTACCCCCGGCTGGACTCTTTCCGGTGTACGTTCATCAGGATTGTTTTCCTGGTGGGTGCCCGGCGAAGGGAAGAGGAACAACAGATGCCGCGAGAAAATTAACTTGTTCGATCGAGGAGCGACAACAGCAAAAACACACGCGATGTATAAACCGGATGATATAGAGAGGCTATTGTTCCTTCGAATGAACTCGCGTTTACTCGTATGATACATACGTCGCACGAATGGCTACTTCATCGTCAAGTAAACTTTTCGCGGAACGTGTAAATAAATTTCACGAACAATATTATTTGTGCAAAAATAAAATAACATATGTCTAAAACACAAAGAGTCCGCGTGCATTATTGAGTTCAAAGCTATACTCAAAATGTAATGTAACTCCTCTCTTCCCTCCCCCCTCCCGAAACATAATGCATGTCAAACGGCACCGTGTCTGAAAATATTAACGAGTTAGTTTTGACCCGATTTCCATCGCCGGAAAGTTAATCAATAAAATACATGAAAGTTTAACCTGTCGACGAGTTGCTGCTTCGCTCATTGGCTTCATGTCAATACGTTCGTTTTGCTTACACATATACGAGAACAAATATTGGACGCTCTCGGAGTGCGTGTCGGACGAAAGCGCGGAAAAACGCGTGAAATCGATAACGAGAATGATTCCTGCAGATGTTGTGGATTATGCACGTACGCTTGTGCGGCGAGCAGATTTTCGATCTCCTTTTCGCCGATCGATTATTCAGCGGAGAGCGGAGATTGCTCCGGAGAGTTGAGAACAGGGAATTACGTAACGTATTTTCATTAATTGCAACACATATACAACCCGCTCGTTGAACGCTGATCTCGATAGTTCGGATAAACTTGGAATCTAACCGGCAAACATGTGTATGTGCTGCAACTCAGAACTTAATGTATTCTATCTGCTACGAATAAATATGCGATACCTACTGGTTCACGGGCTTCGCTTTACAAATGTGAAAGGTTAAGGCCGTCCGATGTGTGCGTATACATACGTGTAATATTTTATGCCGCGTTTGGATTTTGCGAAATTGTTCCCCAAACAACTTTTGCTTCAGCTTTACCGGATGCACTATTTCTGGTAAATGAGATGTTCTGGCAGAATCTTCGATGAATTCAGAGAATGCGTTTTTCTCTCAAATAAAAGACGAAACTACTTTGTATTAACCTTGTCTCATTTTAAATATGTGTGTGTGTATTTAAGAATTTAAAATTCGCTGACAATTGGAAAACTTAAACTTTTTTAATTCTCAATATTTTAAATAGCTACTCGATTGTACACTTTTAAAATTAAAATTAAAGCATATGTACGCATTATGTAATGCTTATAAACTACTGTTTATTAACACGCTTATTAATATGCGCAGAGTTGCGCTCGAGTTTTAATGACAATTAAATAATTAAAATCAAACATAAATTAGTTTCAGAACTTTTAAATGAAATATTTTGCTCGTGTGTGGGTTGCAAATTTTGCGTCCGTCAATGAGAACATTAGTCGCGTTCGCAACAACGAATTGGACAACGCGGAAACAAGCAATGTTACAATACGTGTCCGCACATGTACCTATTCGAGCGAATGTCGATAGAAAATATTGTCAGACGAATTTTACGGAACGCGAACGCGTTTCATCACCGCGATCCGAATGACGGCAAGTCGCGAAAAGCGAATTGAAACACTGTCCAACGGACAAAGAGAGCCATGTCGCCGATACCCGTCAATCGAGGAAGAGAGAGAGCGAAATATCGAAGATAATTACGTCGATTGTGATTAGACATAGACCGACATACGAATTGGACGATATAACTGCCGCCAATTGCGAGCGTGAATGCCACGAGGAAACTATTATTAGCGCGTTGGATCGGGAAAACATCTAACGACACACGAGCTTAAATTCGAGAGGCTATTGATACTCGTATCGATTCGATATTAAAAGACCGGATCTTCCGCGTTAGACGTCAAACACTGCCCAAAAGAAAATATAATGAACAAAAAGATAAAAAAATAAAAATAAAAAAAATAATTGTTAAAAAATAAATAAAATAATTGTTTAAGTAAATGTATATATATTGCATATACATATATATGCGGCAAAACAATTTTAAATCCAATTATATTATAAGCATACTCGCAACACTTTACAACGAGATTTTTTTCTCGTACATTTACAAGTGATAAAGCTGGCCATTACGTCCAATTTCATGTCACGCCAATCGGACACAGTTATCGATCCTCGCTGCATCTCGATAACGCGCGACCGATATCGTTTACTGATAACGAGCGACCGCGTGATTGTTCAGGAGCGAAAGTATTTCATCAGCGGCAGCCGATTATTTTTATCCGCTCGTCCGTGAATCATCCGACGAATACGCTTTTCTGTCAGCCACGAGAGAGATGTAGGGATGTGACATTATCGTGGAAATGAGCGCGAGAAGATAACGAGGATGCGGAAGAATGTCAAGTAAATGACGTCTCGACCTCGACGGTTTATAAACCATGACGTATCCTTCGGAAATTCTCAAGATCGTGTAAAGAAATGTCACAATGTGAAAAACCAACAGTCTAACAGCCCTTAAATCGATAACACATGTGCACATCTTGGCGTAATTATGTCACGGAGACTCACGGGAAAAATCTAACGTCGGCGTTATCATTCGGCAATTTATCACCTTTTGACAGCGCACTCGATCATTTTAATTTCCAATTAAGTTCTCGTGAAGAGAAAGAAAGAAAGAAAGAAAGAAAGAGAGAGAGAGAGAAGAAAAGAGTAATAATAAATGAGACAAGCAAAAAACAAAGAGCAAAAGCAATATAGTCTATTGTTAAAACAACGACTTAAATTTAAAAGTTATGATTTTGAAGTATATAGCACACCAAGTATATTTTGACATTCTCATATAACGTGATTTTCTTCTCTCTTCTTCTTTTCACTTTCCTAAAAGGATTAAGTTCGACCTTCCGATATCAAATCTTTACGCCACATCGATTATTTCGCACCCAGCGTGTAATATCGTGATTCTTCTATACATATGTACTATATAGCGAAGGTCTCGATACGACAACGACGCGTTTTGTGACGATATATTTTGTGATAAACGCGATAACAGTGTTTGCCCGGAAAACTGGCGGGATGCGCTCACGTGAAATCACCGGTTAGTAAAGCCCGTCGCTATCGTAAAAAACTGGCGATAAAGTGGCCGTTATCATAAAATAAAGTGCTCCGCTTGTGCGTCTAAGTAAAAGGCGCGTTTGCAACTTCGAATAATTCGAATAAATATACAAACAACGTTGTTTTTCTGAAATTTATCGCTTCGCTCTTGACACAAAATGATGAGAGAAATAAAAAAATAAAATAAAATTGTACAATATTAAATTGTTCGAGCGCAATTAATGTATAACTTCCGATATTAATCGCACGCTGCAACGCGATATGCACAATGTTTAATATATAATAAATATCGATTGAAATTTATCAGATAAAAATCCAAATCGGATGAAATGGATTGCCAACAAGAAGAGTTCCAAGAAAGTTTCGACGAACGTGAGGATGCATAATATATCAAGAGTATTATATATATACATATTTACACACTTATATAATTTACTTGCTAAGTCCGCGCTATTGGCATCTATGTCTTTTTATCTATTTAATCGTTTATACTGCTTGTGTTTTATTTTGCTAGTATAAATTAAACCAAAATATTATATACATATTTAAAAACTTTTACAAAATAATATCGTTCTGCAAATGTTGTGCAAAAAATAACAAACCGCACAAAAATATTTTACATTCAACACATTCGAAAATTATCATCGTAGCTTCTATCCCACTTCGAATATCGCATGTGATCAACTCATTCTTACTGTTTGTAGTATTTTAGATTAATTCTTTTTTTTTTTTTTGTTCTTTTGTTTGTTTATGATGACTTATCTGATAGCAGGTGCTCAGACAAGCGTACAAAAAATGCGACGGATCAGAAAACTAGTACGTACTTTGCTCTTCTTCATAATGTCTTTATCACGCGGTAGACAACTTAAACTACGACGATTATAGAACATCATTGTTATGACTCACGTCAGATATGTAAATGACCTTCCTTACATTTAAGCGAATTTAAATTTACCGAATCGCGTTGTTTAATCGGCCTCGTAAAATTGAACAAATCGAGAAGATTTACATCATCGGCACAAACGATAAAGCCAAGTTCTAAAATTACAAATATCGGTTTTTTTGTCCTGAAAAATTATTGCGCGATCTCACACGGACGATCTACGAAGCAATAGACACAAAGAAAAAAAAGCGGAGGAAAACTTAAGAGAATTTATTTTCGAGACTTTTTGACAACTTCCGTGATCTTGGAAATTCAACGCGCATGTCGTGAAATTACACTTAAATTTAGTTGAATCCATCTGCCAAACGATCTACCTAATTGTTTCAAGGGTAAAGTCAAACGAAGATGTTTGTTTTTTATGTTCCAATTTCCGACATTTTTCTGCTGTTATACTCGATCGTCTGAAAACTTTCTCCAGAGATCGAGTCCTCCGCGAGCGCGCGACTGGGGAAAATCGCTCGCTGGACACATCGAGCGCTGGAAACGTCATGTCACGGCGTTTTGGCGAACGCGCAACGGTGCGTGAATCAACGAGGAAGCCAATTGTATGTACTGTCGAGAAGATCGAGATGAGTCATCGCTGCGTTCGGTTTCGCGTCAGCGAGCAAACTTTTACGCTCGTTCGCTCGCTAGAGAGACACACTCGACGAGTGTCCCTAGAAACACTATCGTTCGAGAAAACCAACGTGAGACATTTATTCTCTTCGGCTTGCAAACGAAAATAAAAAGAATAAATAGGTAGGCAAGTTTGGAGAACTGAGGGCCCGTTCTATTGCACTTTAATTATTAATTGTGTCGAATCTTCGTTCGGCTAGTTATTCTCTGAGATAACTAAAGTTATATTTTTTTATATAATAGTAAAACCTTTGCTGTTTGCAAGTGAGAAAGCAGCACGAAAAAGTTGGTTTTTTTTTTAATACTTCGCTTCAATTGTCACGAACAAAATTCCCGTGACGTGTAACGGCGATGCCCACGCTTTCTGACCCTTGCGAACCGATGATACGATAGCGATTTACATTGGCACGCATGCACACGACGCGACGAACGTGTGTTTACGCCTTAACGAGGTCCGTTTAACGCCGATGGTAGATATCGCTAATTAAATCATCGGTCGAAAGGAGTTAGACCGACGGCGATCTTTGAAATGATATCATCGCCGAAAGAAATGCATCGTGTCATTCCGCGAATACAAACCGGAAAAAGATCATTTATGTTTATTTCTAATGTCTAATAAAATTTTATTCACAAGTACAATTTTATATATCAATTTTTTATTTTTATACCTCAAGAAACCAATAACTTGTATAGAAACAAAAGGGAAACAATTTTTTTATACAAAAAGGAAATCAAAGAGAACTTTTATTTTTGTTTAACAAAATTATAGAAATGTTTTGGAAAACGTCGACTTCATAAAGAGACCGATTTCGAATTAAGTGAAAGCAGCGTAAAATCACAGAGATATCGTATTTTGTCGCGGTGAATGGGAGAATTCCGCGTGCAGCTTGTACAAAATAGTGTGTCACGCGCGCGGAAAAACTTTACGCACGTACAATTTTCCTACAAAAAGGTCCGCAGCGCTCTCCCACGCGGAAACAGAATTAGAAGATTCACAGTTCGATCGTATATTGATTCGTCGGTAATTCGCAACGTGAATTCTGTATTATACGAGCCGTTTGCGTGTGGCGCAAATTAAGTCCGATAAATGCGACTTCATTGTGCTTGATATCGCTTTTGTTATCGTCAAGTATTATTGTACACTTACTTCTTACGCAAGGAACGACACGACGACTCGGATACACGCGTCACTAAAATAATATTTTTCACTTTTTGAAATGTGCGTTAAAAATCGTGCTTACGTATATATTACACTTTACTCTAATCGGATAATATTACATAAATATTCTCGAATTTACGGCTGCGATAAACTCAAAAAATAACATACGAAAAAACTCGATACGTCTAATTGTCTGATTGTTTGATAAATATTTAAGGACAAAAAATAAAATTGGATATTCTCCGAAAGTAAATATAGCGATAACACGCTAAGTAGTGATGACACTTCGGCACAATTTGATTTGGAAAAAGTTTACAACTATCATGTACGAGTTTATTTTAATCCTTTTCAGTTCAACTGTATCAATAGGAGGAGGACACGTATGTATACGTCAAACCTTACGTAAGCGAATTCAGCTCGAAAACAGCTGAAATGATTTTGTCAATTTTCCTTTGACGGTTAGGCTTGCGGTCTTTCGATCCTCGAATAAAGGAAAATGTGTGACAGGCTTACAATCACAAACACAAAGCAAAAGGGAAACAAGTAGTGTACGAATAAACCGAGATTTTGATTCTGATGTTTGTGTTAAAACGTGAAATGAAATATATTTTTAATTATTGTTTTTTTTTTTTCTTACAACACCACAGAGTGTCTCGTCGCTATTGTTAAAAATGTGTTCCATCAGTTATACATACTTCACAATATAGAAGAAAATAATTTGCTGATTTATCTATTTTGGATAAGTGCCACGCAAACTACAAAGTTCTTAAGGATAAAAGCTCTTTCCATTTGCGAAATGTAATGAAAAATCGTTATCATGTATATGTGTGTACGTGCGAGCGAGATGAACAATCGATTGCGGTTTGCCACATCCTGCCATTGCAGTTAACACTTTGGTCTTGATAAGTTCGAGAGAATCATATCGAGCTCTTTTAAACGTGTCAATTTATATTAATTATAGTGCTTATTAAATCTCACGTCAAGATTTCGTTTCAAAGTTTGTATGCAAAATCGAGAGAAACAGGTATTATATTTATGATTTTGAAACAAACATTCTATATATTTATGATTTCGATATTAATGCAATTAACGACGATCTTTGAATTTTACATAAAAAAAAAAATTGTTTCTTTGCCCCAGTGACTAGGAGAAAAAGAGAATCGCTAGCCGTGGACACTTATTCGAGACCAAGACTGACCTTAAAGTCGTTCACTGGAAAAGGTGAGTAATAATCAACAAAAAAAAATTAAACGGAAATAATACGGTGCACACGTAGGATGCTAAAAAACTTGTACATAAAATCTTAAAAAATTATAACTGAGAATAAAAACAAGAGAAAAAGTTTTTTCGCGATAAGTACAATGTCAATCTGAATGACGAACGCTTACTCTCTCTCTCTCTCTCTCTCTCTCTTCCAAGTTTAATAATAGAAATTTAATTTCAGATTTGATTGCAAAAGTTAAATAAGGTCGAGAAGATTAATATTTGTTCAAATCTCGATGTGATATCTGATTGAGATAAAATTAAAATGCGAGACAATTTACAAAAATATATCGAACGTAAAAAAACTTCGTCCTTCGATTAAAAAAAAAAAAAGAAAAAAGACAACTTTAGACTTTAGATCAAGGAGACAGTAGGATCGAAGGTGGAGCGCATCAGTGTGTGTTTTTCAGCACCCTATGAGTGGTAGTTGCACGCGTCACCCGATGTGGACTATGACGAAGACGTTTCGTAGTGACGCTACGAAAATCATCCGCGGAGATGATCGACACACGACGGCGATTCTCGGTTACTTTCTCCTCGCGAGGAAAAAGCGAGTCCGGCGCAGCACGCGGGAATTAATCGCGCGAGCGGGACGAGGACACGCAGCGTGACGGAGCAAGACGGCGCGCGCTCGTGATCGCTCTCGGCAGGCAGGCACACAGGTTAACGCAGGTTGGAGGTTAACCTCCCGCCACAGAAAAGCGTAACGTAAGATCGCGCGGAGGACAGCGCGCACGAACGCGAGAAAAAGAGTTCGCAATACTTCTCGATCGTTTCGGGAAGAAGAAAGAGAGAAAGCGCACACTTACCCCATAAACCAGTCCACGGTATCGCGGAGATACTCGGGTAACCTATCCAGCTTGGATGATTTTCGTGTTGATCACCGTCGCGAGGAAAGCGGCGCGCGCGAGATACAGCCCGAGAAAACAACAAAGTGTAAATCTCCTCCTTCCCTTCTCTCGCTCTTTCCACCACGGTGGTACCACGCACCACAGTAGTAGTTAGTGGTAGTAGCCAGCTAGCGGCAGCAACGGCAGCGGCGGCGGCAGCAGCAGCAGCATCGGCGGCGGCAGCGGCAGCAGCAGCGGCGGCGGCGGCGCGCGTTTCGGGATCTCGTGAAATCTAACATGGCGCGGCTTCGCTGTCACCTGTTCCCGTCATGCCCCGCTGATCGTGGATACGCATATCGCCGGCCTCCGATATTCGCGATCGGTTTGCCCTTATTACTGATAAGAGATGTTTGAACGCCGTTCGCGACGCGAACGCACTCGAAACGCAAATTCTTACGCGCACAACAACACAAATACGAAAGTACGGTTGCTACGCGCGCGATAAGCAGCCGCACAGCTGATCGCGACGAGCGTTTGTTTGCACACGTGCGCCTCACAACGGCTTGTTTGCGCAACTTTGCGCTTCATTGATCGTCCGTGAGAGGACGGTATCTGTCACATAGTCGATGCTCAACGCTGCATTTGCACTTTTTGCGAGACTTGTGAACTTGTAGCATTTTTTTTACACACGCCTATGGATGATCATAAAAATGTAACGTTCAATACAACTCCAATTTTTGCATGCGAGATTGAACGCGCCAAAGTGATTCGAATGTGATTCCATAACTGATCGCAATTTAAAATTTATCGAAAAGCAATATTGCGACTCAAGTTATCGACCGATCGAAAGCACCAAACCTTAATTGCATCAATTATAAAAAATTATGCAATACATTTTAATAAATAATAGAAATTATTAGATATTGTTCGGAGTCAATTGTAATAAATTAATTAATGCACCAGTTTCTAATGTTTGAATTATGTTATAAATACATTTAAGATTTTCTTCTAAACAACTCGATCTCGATGTTCGATGCGATCTGAAACCTCCAATCAGACCGGAACACAGCTCTAACAAAAGCGCCATCTGAAACAGCACATGGCGTGGCGTTTTGTCCGCCTGCAGCGTCCATTTCTTTCCGGTAACGGTCGTTGAGAAGATCAGTCGCACTTTCAACGTCTTCGGCGCTCTTGTTCATCGTTCAGGATGACGTGAGTATATAATAATCGTGTCCACTACACTCAATCGTTTAAAAAAACCTTACTACTTTGCAACAAACAAATTCGTTGAATTGCAATTGTTGCCGAGTGTGTATTATTTTTAACTAATATACTGACTAACATATCGATGTGCAACTACATACATCGAGTCCTGAATACGAAGTCTCGGACAGTTTTATGAAATCGCACATTTAATGCATTTACTAATTTAAGGAAATGATCGCGAAAATTCTAATAACAATTTCTATAAAAACAATAATTTGTACAATAAAATGTACTAAATCACTTTCTTTTGAGATACTTGCGGAGCAAGGTTATATTCTGCACACGTGCATTTTCTTTCGATATTGCAGGTCTAAAGTTTCGCGCGATACTCTCTACGAGTGTGTAAATGCTGTGCTTCAACACTCTCAAGAAAAGAAAAGAAAATTTCTGGAAACTATAGAGCTACAGATCGGCTTGAAGAATTATGATCCACAGAAGGACAAGCGTTTCTCGGGGACAGTCAAGTATGTTTTTACCTGACTCTGAGGCATTTTTTTCTTTTTTATATTAGTAGATTCATATATCCATTATGTTTGTACTAAATATACTTGTAAAGAGAATGCCTCATGGTACATGTCAGGAAGCTGGGGTTTACCTGGCGGACCTGTACCCAGGGTCTTAAATAAACTGGGGAGGTATTTATATGCCGTTATTTAATTTATACAGGATCATGTTTCATGATCCTTTTGGTAAGTTATTCAGTATAATTTTAGGTCAAAATTATGAAATTTATCACAATTGTTAAATTGTTTTACTTTTGTAAAACGATTTAAGACTTAATGGTAGAATTTCTTCACATATTACATAATGGTTTTATAATTTGTTTATCAACTCACCAATATTCAATGATGTCTTATTGCATGTATTATCTGAACAATTTGTGAAGTAAATATTTATAACTGAGAATATTGGAAAACTAAAACTACATATAGTATAATTTTACTTTCATATTGTACAATATATAATATATATTTTTTCTATTTCAATATATCTTCGTAAATTTAAAGGTTTATACGTGAGAATTAACTTTGTGTATCTTGAACTTTGATTATTATTGACTTTTATTATGTCAGGTTGAAGAATATTCCCAGGCCAAAGATGCAAGTATGCGTTCTTGGCGATCAACAGCATTGTGACGAGGCCAAGGCCAACAATATTCCGTACATGGACGCGGAAGCTTTGAAAAAATTGAACAAGAACAAGAAACTCGTCAAAAAACTTGGTATAATTATTTTCTCTTGTGTGTGTTTCAATATTTAATGCTTATTGTGCCTTCCCAAAAGCATCATTATTGCTCAATCACACATACAATAATGATCGTCAAGTGGAAGGAAATTAAAGTCTTCACTAGGTGAGGACAATGTGATTTGTAGCATTGTACCTCAATCCGTGTTGATACATTCTCTTTTCTAAAGAAAATATTTTTCAAATCAAAAACCTTAGAAATAATTAATTAAGAAAAAAATAAAAGATTTAACATTTTCTGTAAATTCTGGAATTTTGCGTAATACATATTTGCATTCTTTTTTTTAGCAAAGAAATATGATGCGTTCTTAGCTAGTGAGTCGTTGATCAAACAGATTCCTCGTCTGCTCGGTCCCGGTTTAAACAAGGCCGGTAAATTTCCTGGTCTGTTGTCTCATCAGGAATCGATGGTCGGTAAAATCGACGAAGTCAAAGCCACCATTAAATTTCAAATGAAGAAGGTGCGTTGCGTACAAATGCAATTTGTCGCCTAAGATTTTACTCGTACTTTTGATATCAATCTGTCTGTCCTGCAGGTGTTGTGTCTGTCGGTGGCTGTCGGACATGTTGATATGACACCCGACGAGTTGGTGCAGAACGTCCATCTCTCGATAAACTTCCTTGTTTCTCTGCTGAAAAAACACTGGCAGAATGTGCGCTCGCTTCACATAAAATCCACCATGGGGCCACCGCAGAGACTGTACTAAATTAAATAGTGCAATTTTTATCACGAAGATGTACATCCGTTATACAATAAAAACTGAAAAAAAAAATTGATGAACTTGCCCCTTTTACCCACTCCTTACGTTTGTAATAAGCTTTCCGGCAAGTGGAAACAGAGCGACATTAATTTTAATAAATTCGTAGAATTTTTTTATAAGTATTTATAAATGTATAATTAACGGCATTTTTACAAAAATACAAATTTCTGTAGAACTTACTTTTTAATAAAAGGAAAAAACACCGCACAATAAATTTGTGCAGAAAAATTACGTTTTTTTTATTATATGAAATAATGAATTAATTTTGGTATAAAAATAATTAGACCATATGAGTAAGCTTTGTATAATAAAATCTCAGAGAGCTTACCGCCTACATATATCTATACTTGGCGATAACATATCTCGCACTTGCGTCATTATATATTTTATTCATATACAAATATTTTCAATTTAAATTTTTTTTCCTGTTCCTATTCTACTCTCTTTATGCGGCAGATTTTTATTCAACTCTCCTCAAGGTACGCACAGGTAAAAGAGACTACGTATCGAGACACAGCAGGAAGTAGCCGGAGCCTGTGAATCCGGATCTCTCAGATGCTGGTTCGGGGACCGCGTTTGTGTGTAAATTGTACGTGTAAAAGTACATACGTGTATGTGTGTGGGCCCTACGGTGGTCCGCTGCAGGTCTGAGCAAGCATACCATAGTTGTCGCTATTTCCAACGATCTTTCTGAGAGCCAGTCCGGTCCGGTGGCGGTCGCTACGTTTTGAAGAGGTGCACGGTTTCGAATTTTTGCGATGTAAGCACATGCTAAGCCAAAGACTCGAAGTATCACGTTCAGCGTTTCGCGCTCTCTTCCTCTCGTGTTTTTCCACGTGTTATTTTTTTCGACGAAATTCTCTGCCGGTTATGCGTCGGCGTTTATCGGTAATTTCTTAGCAGGACTTCTGAACGTTACATCGTTTCACTATCTCGGAGCATCAAAGCATAAAACAAAGTATTTGAGGTGAGTTCGATAAATACATTTTTTGTGTGTTTGTTTTTAAAACAAAAAATGTACAGATAATGACAGCGAGAAGTCGAACGAATGTTTTTTGTAAGCTTATAAACTCTCGGAAACAAATGAATAAAAAATCTCGGAATGAGTAACCTGTTTGATATATAATTACAAATGAAATATTTGTAAGAACCAACTGCTTGCTGACGTAAGCACGGATTTTTTATGTCCATTATAAAATCGCTTGTATTAAAAGATTAATGACAGAGATTTCTCCGATAATATTCTCATCAATATTATTTTGCATCTGAATTCAAACAATCCCGATTTGCGAATTCATGTTCAATCATCAGATTTGATGTTAGTGAAATAAATTGTTGTAAACGTTGTTATCGAAAGGTTTTTACTGATTATTTAAATAATAAGACTGCCAAAACTTGCGAAATGAAGTTTGAGACTGTAATATATTTACATTTGTTTTTCAAATAAGTTTTTTGAAAATAATGAATTGCTTGCGTCATAGAAATAAAAAAAATTATTAATGTGATTCGACCGACTCTTGTGGACAATCGAAATTTTCTTTCTTTAAAAAATAAACTGAAGAGATAAATAACATAATCACGACTCTTGCTATTCGGATTGGAATCGAGACTAGATTGAAAGCTCGCAGATATCTCCGATGTTAACAATAAACATTCTGCGACATCAAGATTATCAGACGAAGAGCGTAAAAATAGCGATCGCGCCCCTCGCCCGATCCCTTCTTGCCAGGCGCTTGATGATGAATGTAAAAAAAATATTAATGTGTCACGGGGATCGGATGAACGGACGCGCGGCCGGCGGCGCTTGTATTTGATTAATAAAGTGGCCGCAAAAGAGTACACTCTCTGGACAAGTGTAGTCCAGGCGCGTTATCAGCGATATCAGCTGCCAGAGCAGAGACAAACGGACGGAAGACTGTCAACGAGCGTTGGTTGGGCAATTATTATCGAAAGTCGACAAACGACGAGTTTACGTATGCTCCGTGACGCACGCTTCTCTCGAACGAACATTCCCCAAACAGTCATCGACAGATCCGCGGACCGACTGATATATCAAACGCGCGCGCGCGCGCTTCTAAATTAATATCTCCGTTTGTGATCGCGAGTGTAAGTATCCTCAAGCATCGCAAAAACGTGCGTGTTTTAATTGCCAGTAAAAAAACAAAATGTGGTGCTTTGAACAACTTCTGCGGTAATGCCAACTTCAGAATTAACGGTACTAATACAATATTAATGTTGTATCTTATTTTTGTACATGCATATAAGGACGTGTATTGATGTGAAGACTAATTTTTTGAAGATTTCGATGCAAATCATTTGCATCGCGACCTTTTGTGATTACTATAGTTTTACTTTTTCAAATTTCTATTTTTACTTTTTATAAAAACTCTACTTTTTATGTTTAACATAAAGTACATCTAAAAGAGAGAGAGAGAGAGAGAGAGTGTGTGTGTGTGAGTGTGTGTGCAGAAAAATGTAAAAAAACATTTTAATTATACTTTGAAGAAAATTAGACTTGAGGAAACCTTGAGTAATCACGCGTACGATCCTTCCGACGGGCGTGAGAGGAAACAGATATGACTGCTGCTGCTTTCCAAATCACTTCCGCTCTGTGTTCTGGAATGCGTAGGCTTTATTTTAATATAATAGAAATCTCCAGCTTTTGCATCGAAGCGGGGACGCGCTTGGAATATAATGCGTCGCAAAAACTGTGTTTAAAAAAATAGAATAGTGTACATTTCAAATTACGTACAAAAAAGCACATCAAGGGAGAATTTGTATTTTCGGGGACGATTTAATAAAGCAGTTAATATGTATAAATTTTCTATACTTGCTGTTTTCTCTACTTGCAGCTTAAGCGAAATTATGGTTCTTATAATCGCGTTGGTGTTCGCTCCAATTCAGTTCATCCTCTGCCTGCTTTGTGCAGAGGTGACGACTGCCACACCTTCGAACTCGAGCAATCCCATATCGACGGAGAGTATCGCGACCACAAGAGATAACCTTGGTTTTAGGGAATCTCCTGCGAGTTCCGCTATTGACAATACGACGGAAAGTCCCATAGAATCCAAGATCGCTACTTACGAACTTCTCGGGACTGTCTTCACCGATAGATTCTCATCTTTGAATACCGATCAAACGTCCGCAAGTAGTCTCGCTGAGACTACGAATCATGAATCCACGATCAGCACCTATGAATCTATCACTAAACTTCTAATGACTGATGTTTATGTCGATGACGAATCCTCGTCTCCTTCGACCACCGATCAGACAAGATCGGAAGGGACTACTGTCGACAATGTGACAGCAAGCACCACCACAACAACTGATTCAATGATCTGCGATCCAACGTGGCCAGTGAACGCGAGCGGTAATTAAAATCGTTTTAATATAAATCATCAGTATGTATTCAAAAACTGTTTTATATGTTAGTTTCATTCATACGATATATGATTGTAGTGGATACAAGAGAGATAGTTGAATTGTGGATAGACAGTATAGGCACAGAATGGATCGCTCTCTCATGGAAATCCCCGTGTGACAACGACGCGATAAACGCCTCGATAATATACTCGGTCGAAAGATGCGACGACAAAAACTTTTGCAATCAAAAGAACGAAACTAACACGTGGCACAACGCCACCGATCTCGATTTGTGTACGCAATACACGTTCACTGTGAAAATTCTGACGGACTTCTGGGAATCTGATGGCATCAATAAATCAGCGTCAACAAACAGTACTAGTAAGCAATACAGCTCAATTCTGAAATAGCAATTGATTGATATTTAGTCTCAAAGTCAAGCCTTTGAAAACGTCTATTTATACTTTACTAATTTTTCAGTTCCTTCGGTAGACAATGTGGTCGATCTGAATGTTCACAATGTCAGCGTAAACGTTATTGAATTGGTTTGGCAAGCGCCCGCGAATTACGCAAAATGCATCTCCAATTATTTGATTAATCAGTGCAATGAGACCTCTTGCAGTGAAATTACAGTTACGGCCACGAATTACACCGCCAACGATCTCGAACCGTGTACGGAGTATAATTTTACTGTTAAAACGGTAACACCAACCGTAGAATCCACCGGTGAAGTAAAGACTGTGAGAACAACTTCACCGAGTGAGTATATACGAAAAGCAGACGCATAGCGTTGCTTCTTGTGAAAATTTGCAGTTAATTTTTTTATAGCAAAAGAACAAATATGCCAATTTGCTTTTTGTACAATTTTATTAACGTGTTATTCACTTTGTCTGCCAATTCTAAAATAACACATTGCTGATTCACAGAATTATCAAAACCGGAACGTTGCGAAATAATACCAGGAAATTTTTCGTTGATTGTTACGTGGGAGCCGATACCTGATATTTGCCTTAAACATTATCACATATCCGTAGACAAATTTACTAAAAATACGACGGAAACGCGGATCGTAGTTCCGAATCTACATGCTTGTATGGATTATCAAGTGTCGATCAGTGCTTTTAATAAAGACGATGTAGAAGGAGATACGCTTGTCGACAATAACACTACATTGAAATACAGTAATTATTTTTTTATTTTTTTTTGTGATAATTTTTTCTGCTCATTTTGAATGTAATTGTTAATTTCAATATACATATATTTAAGTTGTCCAATATAAAAAAAAAGTCAATTTTGAAGAATGTAAACTTATTTCTATGTTTAGAAACGCGTCCACCGAAACTGACAGATCCGGGAATCCAGCCATACGAGACTAACTTAACGACATACTGGATCATTGAAAAAGAAAACAATTACTGCGAATTAAATTCCCTGATAGTTACGTGCAATTACACAGAAATACATGGGAAAAGACATTGTCATTCCAATAATGTGTTCAGGAAAGAATTGGACCCAAACTCAGCTTCGGATAAAGTTGTCTTCGAAAGTGTAACTGTAACCGGTCTGAGTCCTTTTACGAATTACACTTGTCAGGCATTTACTTATAATAGTGGAGGATTAAGCAACAAGAGCAAGGTCAATGCTACAACATTAGAAGACGGTAAAACTGCGTTATTTTTATTTTGCACTAATATTTTAATTTGAGTGATTTAATTGTAATAACATTACTTTTACTAATCAAAGTAGATAAAATCTGTTAATTAACGATAATTCGTTATTTTGTTTTTCTTTTTTCTACGCTGCAATATAATTAAATATACTATATTTAATTATATTTGATTTCACTTATTAATAATTTTATATTTTTAATAACATAATTAAATGCAAAATAGCTTAATTTAATTTGAGCAAGCTCGTTAACGTTCTAAATTACAATTTTAGTACCAGATCCGCCTAACTCTCTCGCCTTCTATGACGTCACAGACTCACAATTTTCTTTGAATTGGAAAGAACCGGAATGTCCGCACGGTAACTTGCAAGAATTTCAAGTCAAAATCACTTGGAGAAAATATTATCCCATTCCGAAGTGGTGCGCTGAAGAAGAAAGTGGCACTGTATTATCTGAACCGATTGATGCTAGTACATTTAATTATACTTATCTCAACGCAACAGCATTTACACATTACGAAGTTCAAGTAAAAGCGAGAACAGGAGCGGAAATAAAAAATGGTTGGGGCTCTTATAGCAAATCTAAACACAGTCCAACAAATCCCGGAGGTATGTATCTATTTTTACTATAATTGATTTTTTTAATTGTTTTTCTTTTTTTATACATTGTTACTATATTATAATTACTATACTATAATTGATTTTTTAAATTGTTTTTCTTCTTTTATATAACAAGATTAAATAAAATCTCTATATATAACGTATATAGTATAAATAATAATTATAATGCACGGTATAAATACTTAACATATCTTTAGCTTTTCTGGGAGTAAATATTTTATTATAAATATTTTTAAAAATATAACATTTATGTTTAGTTCCAAAAGCAGTCACGAGATTCAATTCTTCGTCGATTATTATCAAACCAAATTTAGAAAATCCAGACGTATTAGACACGATTCTAACATGGGGATTGCCGTGTTCTTTAAATGGAGAGCTCGAAGAATTCGAAGTGTCAGTTCACGGCATCAGAGAGGGATTTGCACCTCATTCCTTTTCCATTAGTCACAAATGTGAGGAGTACATCGATAACAATCACATGTGTTTGTTAAATCTTGAAGAACTGAGAGGAGAGTATAATTATAGCTTTACAATATCCGCCAAAGTTAAGAATGTCGATGCTTTCGGAGAACCAACGGTGGTCAAAAACGTACAATATCCCGCTGGCAGTACGTATTAATTTGCAAATATAATAACACTTATCTGTTTTTGCACCAGTGCCGCATTATCGTGTAGATGTTCAATTTCTTTTTGCGAATAATGTGCTAGTGTAACTGAGAGAGTTTTTGTTTTAATTGCAGTACCATTGCAACCCGACAAAAATTACATCGACAAAATTACCATAGATCCGTATAAGATGCTCAGATCCACGACAACGGCTACTGTTTTGCTGCCCCTGTTTACCAATGAAACCGGCAACATCAGATATTACGCGATTATGGTATCGAAGATGGGGAATAACAAACCGATAAGTACGCGATTCGATCTAAAGAGCAAGATCTGGCCAAACGCGTCATCCTGGGAAGAAGCGATGATGAACGATTTTTCGATACCGTATCAAGCGACGCTGAGAAATTGGGATCCTTATAGTTGTAGGTGATATCTCTATAGATAGATATAAGAATCGTATATACGATCGTATATACAAAACGTGACGTTTCGAACACACGTCGCTTATGTATTATTGAAATATTTGCCTCTCCGTTTAGCGAAGAACGTTGACGATTATGGCAACATACAAGTCGTCAAGTACACGATTGGCGAGGATGCAACGTGCAAGAGCATGAAGAAAAGATATTGTAACGGCCCGCTCAAGCCGGACACGTGGTATCACGTGAGAATGCGAGCGTTTACTTTCGGCGGTTACAGCGATTCGGATTATTTCGTAGTAAGAACGAGTAAGTGCTTTTTAATCTTAATCAATGCGAATAATATAAGAGTCCTGCGTATGATATTTTAATTCGTTCTCTTTTTACCTCGTCGCGTTTTGCGATATTTCAGATGCCGAACTGAATGTCGTCCTTGTCATCGGAGCTGTCTTCGGTATTCTCCTCACGGGAATACTGGTGACGATGATGCTGCTCGTACGAAAATGCTCGCCATATCTGTAAGTTGCAATGTTATAGTAGCTCCGAACGCTAACAAACAACCGATAACACGATGTATCGGAGTAATTCTCCGATAACTTTCTCGTATCTTGATCTCGGATACGCGATGTGTTTTCTATTCGTAAACTTCTCGAGCTTACATTATCGAAATCGAATATCGTCGTGTGTATACGACACGAGGGAGATAAGATAAAATTTTCTGTAGTCGACGGAAATTTCAAACAAAGCTGTTCGAGAGACGTTTGCAACCGGTAAATTTGTCGCATATACACGTGTCGCATTTGGCACCAATATAAAAAGACTGCTGAAATCACGCCTATGGTTAATCACGAGAGTCTGAAAATGCACTCCGGACAGGTGTCAACATATATATACGTGAACAATGATCAATATTTATTCTATGACTCACTCAGAAGAGAACTATAGGTAGCGAGCGTAAGCAAGGTCACGCGATGCACGCGTCTATCATATACACGCTAAGATATACAGCGCATTACCGGACTCACAGTGCTCGATGAGGTGTCCGTCGCGATTTTACTCGCAAAGTTTATCCGCGAGCCAAACGCCGAATCGCGTATTTTTATATTATGGATTTTTTGTTTTGTGACCACGCGGGATGTGAATGTTTGAAACAATTAGAAGAACAGTGACGTACGTCGCGTGTAACACGTTGCCGGAAATTCGATTTATGACTATATAGTGCGTTCGAATAACCGAGTCGCGCTCTATTCGTTTCTGGCCAAGTGCGTATGTTTATTGCGTAAGTTTTCTGTTGTTCCTCCACTATGAATGAGCAGCCTACACACATCGAAGAAAATATATGCGTATATATGAATTGCGCGAACGGGTCTATTGCGCATATTCTGTGCGTAACTCTTTATTGTTTCGACACTTCTAACGATTGACGTTAATAAAACTTAACTTCGATTGTATTCCGGAGAGAGTTTACTTTTCTAATTTTTACATTGTCTTTACACGTGAGAGAGAGAGAGAGAGAGACACGTACGTATCTATTTCAAATGTGTTATTATTCAAACGTATTTTTTATATCTGATATTCTTATATGATTGAATACATCAGAAGGAATGCGTACATATATACACGTACACATGCACATATATATACAGCGCTTTACGGAAATTTACATTTGCTGCGTCATTTCTGTTTTATCAGGGTGTTGCGAAGATTTTTGCATTCTGACATGCCCGGCTCACCTGTGCCCGCGCCGTTCACACGGAAAAAATTCATCAGCCATTGTCAGCAATTGATCGACAATCCCGGAAAGCTGAGCAATGAATTTCGACTGCTTCAAACTCTCAGCGTCGATCTGCAAATGCCCACAAATACGGCCTGCTTACAGGCTAACCGAAAAAAAAATCGCTATTCCGATATTTTACCTTGTACGAATTTATCTTGCAATTGCACTCGCGCGTTACTACACACACTTGCAATTAACAATTTATTATATATTGTATATGTGTGATTCATACTTTCAGATGATTTCTCAAGAGTGAAGTTGGAGGTAATAGATAACGATCCTAACACAGATTACATCAATGCATCATTTATAAAGGTAAGTATTTTACAGTTTTGTGTGTGTATACAATATACATGTAATGACGTTTTCAAAAATGTAAATTTAATTTGAAAAATTTTATTTCGAAAATTAAAAGTTATAATTTTTTTCGTATTCTTAATAATAAAAAGAAAATACAAAATTTGTCGGTAAATCTACTATATGAATCTACTATATGAAATACGATTCTCTCTCTCTCTCTCTTTATATCTGTTACATTTCTCTCTTCTATCGCCGTGTTTTTTCCAGGGATATACGGGAGAAGACGAGTACATAGCTTGTCAGGGTCCAAAGGAGGAAACGACTTATGATTTTTGGCGAATGGTCGATCAATACAATATCAACATCATAGTTATGTTGACACAGTTGGTTGAGAAAGGCAAAGTAAATTCTGCTTGCGATGTGATCTGCGTTTTGTCATATCAAGTTTGTATTTTATTGCGCATCGATTATATTTTTTTTTTTTTCAGGAGAAATGTCATCAGTACTATCCGGCAATTAGGGAAACCTTCCGATACGAAAACATGACGATACGATGTACGAGCGAATTGGATTTCAGGACACACACTCAAAGAACGCTAGTGTTGCAAAAGGTTTATCTTATATACAACTGCTTTAAGTATATTTGTAAGAAAAAACCGTTTACGCAAAGAATGTATTTGTGATACGAATAATAATTGCAGGAAAAGGAGAAAAGAAGCATCACTCACTTGCACTTTAAAGACTGGCCTGATCACGATGTTCCGGAGGATTTCGATGCAATGATACATTTTTGTCAAATTATGCGTCGTAATATCAGCGCTAATAAAGGCTTTATAGTAGTTCACTGCAGGTATAAATAATTGCACGTAGAGAAAACACAACATAAGACTGCACTCTTGATTCCACGGACGCTTTAAGATAAATCATAATAAATTGACGTGTTACTCTTTTCTTCTGATAAAATAATTGTCATTATTTTACAGCGCAGGAATTGGTAGAACAGGAACATTAATAGCGATTGATATTCTTCTGCAACATCTTAGGGATAACAGAAAATTAGATGTATTTGGAACTGTATATAGATTGCGACATCATAGAATAAATATGGTGCAGAGAGAAGTGAGTATCTATTTACAAAAAAAAAGATGATTCGAGAGACTGTGTGTAAAAAATAACTCTTTTGCACACAAAAAATTTGTATTTCTGAACTAGAGTAAATTTCTATAAACTTTTTATAGTGCATTTCTATAAATTTGTACGATAAAAAAGTACATGTATTTTCATATCATCCTTACATTTTCAGAGTCAATACGCTTATATATATAATTGTATAAAGCAAGTACTCAAGAATCCTTATTTCTTAAAAACTTGTAAGTATCTTTTTTACTTGCTGATACTTGTTTGAGTTAAATATAAATGATATTTGTAATTAACCCTTTGTAGGCTGACTTCCAAAACAGTTTACTAGTTAGACTGACTGGGTCTGTGAGACCCACGCGACTTTAAAACCAAACATCTTCGCGTTTTTTTTTTTTTTTTTTTTTTTTATGTAATCGAAAGTTTGAACAATTTTGCGTCAATCAAAAACAACAAATTGAAAAAATCTTTAATAATTTCGAAAATATAAGCGTTAAAAAAAACTAATTTTAACTAGAGACATCGTTTTGACATTTTTGGATGGGTTTAGGAGACCCATGTCAGTTTACGAAGGGTTAAATACAATACAGCACACAGACTCTCATGTTACCCGCATTCCTGTAGATAAACCGCCACCGGTAGAGCCGATATATGAGAATGTCCCTAAGAAAACCAAAGATGCAACAAATTCGGACATAAATCTAGTCAACAACTCAGAATTGTGTACGTACTGTGTATAAAAAATATACATACTCTATTCTATTGTAGATTTGTTGGACATTTCTTGCGTATTCTTTTAATATTTCTTACGTATTCTTAGTATTATTAGAAAAGCACGGTATTTTAGAAATAACATTAATCCACTTTGTACTACAGAATGAGAGTTTCTCTTCAACTATCTAACTCGTGATAAGGTAGGAACAAATGCTTGGTTTGCATTATCTTTGCTTTCTTCACAGATTGCTTTATTTATAATCTAATTCTTATCTATCTGCCATCTCTAGAATGTGATAACATTCTATAGATTATGGAATGCTTCTATGCGTATCGCTTCTTGTAATTTTGTAACATACATCTATTCTCATCATTTACAGATTGGATGTAGTTATATGCAATAGATCAATTTGTTTTTTTATTTTTTAGTTGATTGACCTAAGTAGTTCACACCCAGCGAGATTTTATTTTTGATGTTTTTCTGAAAACTGCTACCGAACAAATTATTAAATTTCTGAAAACAATTTTACATCACACAACTACATCCAATTATTTGAGTATGCCGTATGACATATATATTATGCTTTGTTCCAGTACCTAAAAAATATAATAGTTTCATATCTATGGAGTCTCTATCTATGGAATCAATTTACAATCTCTTTTCTTGGTCAAAACCTCAAAGAAGAATGAATAGCGGTAAGACTGAAATAGTCACCTCACATAATCTGAAAAATTGCTACATATATTATATATTAAAAAAAGAATAATTTTTTATTTAGATGTATTTTACTTCAATATGTCATTGATTGTCAAAGATTTAAGTATATCGTATGACAAATTTTATTTCACATAATTGTTTTTCAAGGTTTGAGACACTACAAATCTATGAGTGCCATACATACAACAACTCATCCTGTTACTGCAGGTTGGTAACAGATTTTCAGACTGTAATTTTTGTCATAAGAATGTTGCGATATAAATTGTTTTATTTTTGTTTTAGAACAATTCCAAACTCTGGACTGTATCTATTCCACACATTTTTCTAAGGATGTCTTCACTGAATCAGTAGAAGATTCACCAAATACATCGAATAGAGAAAGTTTACTACAGGAAAGTATTCCATTATTAATTTCAAATCAATCGACTGATGTGCTTGAGAATAGCACGCAATGTGCAACAAATGATAAAGAGTTATTAAAACCTACCGAGCATACAATGATGCGTATCTTTACTGATACCACGGTTGTATAAAAAATCTGCGTTTTTTTAGACATGTGAAAGAGATGATTGAATTCTATAATTTAGTGCATTAAATTAATCAAAAAATACATAGATATTTGAGAAAAACTGTAAATATATATAAAAGATTGAAAACAAATTTACATTTACTTGCTAGGATAAAATCGATGATTTACTTGTCGTGTCTTATTGTTTATAAAACTATAAATTGTACGAGAGTATCCCCTCATAAGAGTGTATATACTACCAGAGTGTACTATACATGTGATATTAAATATAACATGTGCTTACACACATTGTTACCTGATTAAATCTTAAATAGCTAATTAATACACATATAAACGAAATAATTGTACATATATGCTTACACAATTTTCTTATGTTTTAAATATTTATTTGAAATGTACATGATACGATATGTAATAGAATATTTGACACACTGATATTTGTTATTCCATCAAATTTATTTGTCCACAATGACCTTATCTCAATATAAGAATGAAATATTATTTTGTCAAGATTATTTCTTATATATATGTACTTTTTAAATAAATTAAATTAATATCTATATTTAGTAGAATAATCTTTAGGAGAAACAACCAAACCTCGACCTTTTCTTGCACCTCTATAAACAGTCTCGATAATGTCAATCATTTCTTGCTTGTCTTCCAGTGTCCAATTAATCTTATTATTGTTTCCAGTACCTAAATCTATCATAATATGTTTGTTTCTAAAGAAGAACATTACCGTACAGGGATCGTACAATTCATACCTGGAAGAAATATTTCATTGATAAATATTAATTTTCTATAATTTTGCTTTATCTACATTTTTCTCTCTCTTGTAATACATAGTGCTCTGATAATTTATATACTAATAATATGTATTTTATCATATAAATAAGAAATTCTACGTACATCTTATTAAAATCTGGCACTTTTGTGATATCAACTAGGTAAATAACAGCAAAGTTCTTAACCTTCTCCGCAATATTATAAAGCACTTCATCCATCTTCATACACATCGGATCCCAATCGTGTCCAAAGCGAATAACCTAGCAAGAAAACATTTTTGCTTTGCACATTCTTATACATAATCTATTTGACACACAATCATATTACATACTGTGCAATATGATATAAAAAGTTAGGTACACATTCGGGAACTTACCACAACTCTGTCTTCTTCGGAGAGTATAGCTTGATCGACTTGATAACCATTTTCCAAATGTGACAGCATGTACGACATTTTGAAATGTATATGAAATTCAAAATTCGCAATTACAAAATTATCCGATTGTTGTGTTTTGAATTATAACTTCAATACTTTCCTTCCGACGAACGACGACTCGACGATTTATTTTCTCGTCTACTAAATCACTTCGTTTAGTTGTTCTCAGTCGTTAAGCAAAATTTTCACGTGTCTCGTAATAGTGTTGTTTTTACACGATTTATGTAACACTAATAAACAATGAAAACCCCTTTAATTGCACAGCAGAGAGAAAACTGAGAGCGAGAGCAGCCTGGAGCGGTCAGTCAGGCCGTCCAGTCTCATGGTGTAAGTATATTTACCCATGGTCCAGGCCCATAATTATAATCGCTTTTCAGCCCTGTAAGCCAGCGCAATATCCATGAGTGGTGCACATTGGCAACTACGTAGCCATGTCCACGAACGACTTGTCGGTACGTACGTTATGTACAAAACGTAGACATGGTTTTATTCCGTGCTATGTGCACAATTCTAAGCGTTGAGTTGAGAAATGGTAGATAGAATGACGTATATGGACTAACCTTCCCACACACAGGTCTAAAGAGCCATAAGCGCACCAAACTATTCGACTCCGATTTTCGTGCTTAAAAAGTGTTTCAGTGAAAAAACAACAAAATTGAAAAAGTGTCAGGATCGAACAAATGACCACACGATTTGACGCGTCTTGACGAGCTCTAGAAAATGTAATGATAAATTTTATTTTGATATTCCGCCTGCAATTTATGCCTTTTTTTCTTTTACTAGCACAACACAGGTGCGCGCTACGCGCACGATCTTGTTATTTTTATTTAACGTGTTGTCAGTGAACACAACCTGTCACCGCGATGACAGATAGTATATACGTCTTATAAACATAAACCATATATAATACACATATGAGAAATGTCAGAAATAACGCATGAAAATCAAACTCAAAAAATAGTGAGAGAGAAGTGGAAAAACAACACGTGACTAAAGTCACGTGACAAGGAAAAGGGTAAAAAAGAGAATATTATATATATTATATGTAATATTCTATATCTATATATAATACACACACATACGCATATATGTGTATATATATATATATACCGTAATCACGTGACCGAAGTCAGTAACACCGCCGCGGTCGCGTGGCCGAGGTCAGTGACCCCCCTCCCCCCCGCCAAGGCCGCGCGGCCGAGGTCAATGACCCCGTCAAGGCCGCCCGGCCGGGTCAGTGACCTCCCCCCACCAAGACCGCGCGCCCGAGGTCAGTGACCCCCCCCCACCACGGTCGCGCGGCTGAGGTCAGTGCCCCGCCAAGGCCGCGCGGCCGAGGTCAATGACCCCGCCAAGGCCACGCGGCCGAGGTCAGTGACCCCGCCAAAGTCGCGCGGTTTTTAAATTGCAGTTTTTTTGATCTCAAAAAAACTGCAATTTCTTCTTTTAAATATTTACCACCAGCAAAGTTATGCTAGTGTAGAAAACAATTGATCTATATATGTTATAGTTATAATAAAGATGCGTATCGATTTTTTTACATTTATTTTAGAAATTTTATATACTATATAATAATATATATACACTTTTATAAAAAAATATTTGCTCTATATATATAATATCTATATATTATATATTAAATATATATAATAATATTAAATATATATAATATATAATATATATAATATATATATATTTTTAGCATTAGCGAACAATATCGTTGTTCACTGACCGTATGTTCGTTTTGTTTGCAAAAATAAAAAATGGACGTTTGTTTTATTTGCAAAAATAAAAACATTGGCACTGTACACAGAGTAAAACTTAATTTTCTAAAATAAACATAAACTGAATAAGACACACAACCGTTGAAATAATACATCACAGAGAGTCAAGGTGCAATCATTTTGTTTTAGGGTCTGCGTGCGGTTACATGAATATAAGACGCTGAGTGAGAAGAGACGCGAAGAAATGAACGGTATTCTTCCCGTCTTCTTCGCAACCACCGCTCTGTCGTTCTTTGAGATTTAAATGTAACACCCATCATTCTCTCGTATCCACGAAATACTTCAGCAGACAATTTCAATGTTATATTTTCATGACAGTTCAATCGAAGCACGCTAGAACAATAATAGTATACTATGTGACGAGGATATATTATAAAGATTTCCAAATTTCTTCAATCTATACAAGATAAATACGGAATTGTCCTTATTATCTAATGACGCAATAACGCTGACGTGAGGATATTAAATTGTATGAAAATTTATTTGAAAAATTAACGTTACTAAATTATAGTTATCATGTCGTAATATCGTGAGGCGAGAAAAACGCGTAATAATGTTTAAGGCACTTGAAGCGAAACGCAATACGTTCGTTTAAACTTGAGTCTCGTTGCCGGAATGATGTTTCCGATGCTTTCGAGATTTGTTGTGACTTCTGTGTAGTTGCGGGTTTGCCATCGCGTGCTGATGTAGCAGGGGATGCTGCGGCGGCGTCAGATGACCGAGATGGTGAATCTGATGAGGTATGGGACTTGCGCTGCCGGTGGTGGTGCTGTAGCAGTGCATACCGGGCGCTACAATAGGCACCGGATGGCATTTGTACGGCGGTTGTCTGCAGTGCGGCAGCTTGCGACATACACTCGTTACTTCCGGCCACCAGATCCACGCGGCGGTTATAACGCCGGCTCCGAGGGTCGCCACCAATCGCAGCACGAAAAACTGCAACAGAGGCCGAACGGGTACACGCGGCGCCGTCGACGGTTCCGGCGCCCGGAGCCACGTTTCTCTGCTCCACCATTCGTAAAACGTCGCGCTGACCAGGCAGATTATCAAGGCGGCATACAAGCAGACAAATATACCGAAGCGCGTCAACAGCTGCTTTCGTCGCCGATAAATCTCCGCTGGTGACAGCTTGCCGTGCATTTCGCGCTGTTGGCGCATCAGCGGATTTGTGTGAGACGCCGTCGTCGACGCCACTACCGCTGACGATGACGACGACGAGGTTACTGCCAACGTCGGCGTTACTGCTGGACGTCGCGGCAGTATCAACGATGCCAACCCGACTAGTAGAATCGTCACACCGAACGACAAATAGATGACTTGCGGCACCAGCACCAAAGAAAGTAAAGACTTCGTGTTTTGCTGACCGACAAAGCAACTTGCTGCAAACAGAGACAGACACGATAATAATCGCCGTATCAATAAACTATTTTTATATTTACATGCATATGGCGTTACAGTAAAAAAACAAAAGAACAAATAAACGATAAAATGCGGAGAGACCGCTAATAAGGTGGTATCTGAATTCTCTTATGCAAAGATTCGAACTTTAAAGTAGCTCTTGGTCCTATCAGTGGGCAGTGACAAGTTGCGGGGCAAGTTTGAAGATATTTGCATTGAATGTCGCCTGCTAGAAGAGAGAAAGAGAAAGGATTCTCGACTAACCGGGTTTATTCCACGCGCGAACGCGCGGTTAGCTTCGTAACTTCTCGAAACGCCGCACCAAATTGACTCAATTGCGTACGAAAGTATGCAAATTCGGCAACGAGTAATCGCGAGTACTCATCCCTCCTCACATTAACGAACATATGTATATATCGTAATTTCAAATCGTTTAAGATTTCTAAATATGCGTTGTTTATGTAAATCAATATGGGAAATATTTAATAACACGCGGTAACGAAAAACACACATAAAAAATTCTCGTGTTTCACACGCCGGGAGAAGTTTTTAATTTTGCGAGAGAATGTGCGACGGATCCACACGCAACGCAGTTGACGTATCGGAGCGCGTGACTGACATTCCTTCCGCGATCCATGAATTAACTGGATCAACGGAATTTTATTTTCCTCTCCACTGTCTGACAAATATTTCTTGATTATAAAAATATGCACAAAATGCAACAATGGTATATTAAAGTTTAACGTAAAAAATAAATAATAAATTCGGAATAAATGTAACACATAAATGATATTTCCTTTTCTCATAAATTTTTTTTTAATTTATTGCGTGTCGCCTTGCTTTCTCTTATATTTAGTTTCGTATTTATACAATCTAAAAAAGCACGTATAAATAATGTATAATAATAACAAAAGTAATCTCGAGCGTTCGCTGAGGATCGGTCGTTTAATTCAGAGATACTAATCTCGAAGCCAGTCGCCTTCGAGCATAACTTATCGAGAACATAAACACGAGAAAGAACGCACATATTAGCATAAAATAGCCTCGACCGGACCGTCGAATTAAGATAAATGAGAAAAAGGTGGCGAGGACACATGCGAGGTAGGTAGATGCGGAGATAGAGTGAGACGAGTGGATATAAAAAGAGAAAAACAATTATCGAAGATTGAAGAAGGTTCGCGGAGTCCCGCGAATCTAACTACGCCAATGGAGCAATCTCATAAAACAAACGGTATAACAAGGCGTGGCCATAAAACCCCCCGGCGCTCTTCCTAGAGGCTGACCAAAGCGAGTTCTAATATCACGTGTTGTGTTATTCGGCTCGGTCGAATAATTGACTTTGTGCAAACTTAAACGAGGATGAACGTCGGTTGAATATTGGTGTTTCGGGCGCAAAAGGATAAATACGTGGGAAATGTGTTTGTATGAAAACACTGAGTCGTCTGAAAGAAGTCAGAAATTTTTGAAACATTACCATCCGGATGCAAATGATATACGATTTTGTTCGAACAAGTTTCTCTTTGGCTAGTAAACTGAAAAAGAATCTCAACCGATATTTACCGGTCAGTTCGTCGGCGTCGACGTCTCTCGTGACCAGCACGGCAATAGTTTGCGCAGCGGGAAGACCCCAAGCCGCGACCGCGGCGACAGTTGAGAATCCCTGGTGCAGCCCGAAACTATCCTCTCTGCAGTTGCCGGCTGTCTTCGTCCATTTTTTGGCCATTACGCACCACCATGCACATATTACGACCCACCTGCGAAATCAGAATTGTATTGAATAATAAATGCTTGTTCAAATTTATGTTTCCTAACTATTTTTCTTGAGATATTCTACATATTTCTAAAGATTAAGATGCACGAAGCGATCTGTAAATTGACGGACCTCAAGAAACAAAGAACTTGTTAGCGAGCGCGAAATTCTCGATCATGCTGCGGAGAGGCGTCTTCGAGTCGATTATACGGCCCTGCACGAGAGCTCAGAGCTGAAATAAAAAAAATAAAAAAACAAGAAGAACGTAGACAGATGAGAGAGATGCAACTACACGATGGGAGATCGCACGGGAGCGAGACGGAGTACGAGAGGCGGCCGAGTAACCGTTTGCGCCTCGTTTGACCTGTTCGCGCTGCTTTTCGATCTTGTCGAAGACTCGCGTGATTAATTAGTCGGCTTTTCACTGCAACCGCTCTCTCGACAGACTGGTTGCTGGGGGAGAACGGATTATACGCCACAGCATGGTGCGGTTTGCACGTGCGTGTACACGGCGTGTGACGACGGTGCGCCGCGAGGACCGGAGGATTGTCTCTCACGCAACCGGCACGCAATTCGTTGGACCGCATTGTTCGGTTTCGAGCTTCGAAATAATTCCCAGCAAGTCGATGAAAAAACAATTTTTCTTGGCCTAGAAATAATTCTTGTCAAACATTTACATAGCGCTCGACACGATAAAATAATATTACAAGACTCTTATTACTCGTATAATCTTATCGAAAATAAAAGTAGTGCGATGGATTTGACATAAAACGATTGCTGTATGCGCGCGCGCATGTGTATAACATATTATAAATTTGGCTAAAATATAAAATTGGAAGAACGTAAAAGAAGAACGTCATATTTAGAAGGAACAAATAATTTTTTTCCTCTCAATTTCGTGTGTAGCGGACCGAAAAAACCAGTCTCGTACGACAGCCAACTTGTTCGAGTGTTTGCCGCTGACTAGTATTTACCGAGTGGACAACGGTAGCCGTGTCTCTTCGCGTGGATCTACACGTGATCTACAGGTCAACTAACAGTTAGTTCTCACACTTACGTCGTGACATAATAAATGACGATTGTTCCTTTTTGTATATGTATATATATACACATATATGTTTAAACAACAATTTATATTTATATATATGATTATATAATAAATAAACAATGATATTATATATTATAAGTATGTTTAAAACAACGCTCTTTGTATTCAACATGTCATTCTTGCATAAAAAATAAACAAAATAAATTTTAAATGTTAAATTTGAGAAAAATTATCTTCATCAAAAAATTCCTCGTATAAAACACCGAGAAAATTAGAAATTACGGAACAAAACTGATTAGGATGGTCAAACGAAGAGAAATTCGGCAAATTCGCTAATTCCTTTCTCGATTTATCGCGCTGAAAAAGCAAAAACTTGCTCGACGAATTCCGGTCGCGCGGTGATGAATGGAGTGACGCGGTGCACACGCGCGACGCACGATTTCTTGCTTCCGTGGAACGTCACAGAAGAAAAACAAAGAAAGAAAAATCAGGAAAGAATTGTAACATGGGACGCAATAATCGACTTGTAAAGTGCGACGTACACATCCAATGGAGGAAGTTCCGGCAGTTTTTAAACGTATCTGATTGTGTGGAGAGAAAAAAGAGAATGATGAAAATATACGTGAAATGGGAAAAGCATGCCGAGTTCGCGCTCGATGCTTTCATCCATCTAGCAATCGTCGATGGTTAATGCAATAGCACGGAGTAACGAGCTTAATCTCGTCGAAGTATGCGTAATAAGACCGATTAGTCGTGGGGCACGAGATTCATCTCCCTCCACTCGTAATCGCTGTTACACGGCTGGGTGGTCGACCACTCGCAGTTTCCGTGCAACTCGACTCGAACTTTGCACGCGGGACGAAGGCAGGCGAAGAGACTACCTAACGACTCGCTAACTAACAAAACAAACAAGAGGTAGCTAGGTGCTCCTCTCATCTCATCTCGCTGATTATATACCCCGCGGGGCCCCCCTTATACACGACGACGATGCCTCCTCCTCTCGCGTTTCTCCCCGTTCTCATTCCACTTTGTCTTCGTTCCTCTTTCTCTCTCTCTCTTTCTTCATGTCTCTCTTCGTCTTCTTTCGTGATGAATTTGGAAAAATTGACCGTAGTAACATGTAACACGTATTCGCTTCCCAAGCAAAAGTCCACTTGTGCACGCGAGCTTAAGATCAGCGTAAGATCTGTCGAAACGACTTGCGTGAGCGAATTGCTACGAAAAATTTCTTAAAAGGATCTTGTTGGTGATAGTAAAAACACGTCGCTCCGAGATACTCGCGTGAATGCACGTAACCGAGGCGCGCGGTTATTCAAAACACCCTGGACTGGTTGTTAAGATTACAAGATACTCTCTTCGCAGTCAACACGCGTGCTGCACCTCCGGACACATAACGTCGTCGCTTTGAAAAAGAAAAAGATTAGGACAGTCTTTCGGGACGCGCGTACTCGTCACGAATTTCTTTTGTCACAATGCATTGGTATTGTGCTCGCATTTTATGCACAAATGGCGAGAACAAAGAGAATTCTTCCGTCTCCTTTGAAGCTAGAGGAAGATAATACGCAGAATATAATATCGACCGCTTGTTATCGGAAATCCCGCCGTTCCCCTCGCTAATGTCGAGTTGTCCGAGCTCTTATCTCGGATAAATTATCGAGAAATTCTTGGATCCGGGTCCTTAAGATCCGACCTGGCTGAACAGCCGAGAGAGAGATGATGGATCAGCTCTTTCCTCGAGCCCTCTTTCGACTTGTCCTTTTTCCCTTGTTCCTGAGACGGCCGTCAAACCCTCGAAGCGAATGGGAAGACAAGGAGGAGAGCGAAGGAGGAAGAGAAAAGAGAAAAACGGAAACACGAAACTGCCTACGAACTACCTACCACCATGGGGCCCTGCACAATTCTCTGTCAATGGCGTAGCACTGCCGATTATCGATTCGATCCCTTTAAGAATTTAACCACGGGGAGTCTTTTAACATTTTAGACCTTAACGCCTTAACCATTTTCGGATTTAAGGATCTGTGAAAATACGAGTTTGTCCCTAAACTACCGTGTTTAATTTTAATATCAGGGTTATTGTACGTTTTTGTTTACACTTCACAATTGTAATTTTAGTAAATATATATTTTCCTCAATTTTCTCCAGAGAAAGAGAGAAAACAAAATGACTGTAAATAAAAAGTAAAACTTGTAGTGACTTGATGAGGTATTAAATTATTATGCACTTTTGTTAAAAGAGTAACGTTACAAATTCAAGGTATCCATGAAAGATCGATGTCTTTTGCTTGTATGGAAATCTCAATGAGAAATTCGTCGTTTCTTTAGCATAAATTTGACATGCGTGTAGAAACAAGGCGGAAAGAGAAGAATGGAAAAAGCGAGACAGGACAATGCGCGAGACAAGGGCTGCAGAGAACACTATGGGTCCACGGTACACGGCTTCGTAGCTTCGTGTGCCGCGGGGCGTGATGTTTATCGGCTCTTTCGATGTAAATTATGGCCATACGCTATACAGTTCGCTACACCACAGCGCACAAAAGTATCCAGACCCCGAGTGCAGGGCCGCCGGACCTTCGCGATGAGTCTTAACTATCTATTGACTTTTCGTCGCTTTAAAAAAAACGTAAACTAACATTTGAAATTATAAAATAATAGAAAAGTGAAAATTCCAGAATTGTACGTAAGTTGTACAAGTGAAAAAAAATTACTCAACTTTCGAGATTTGTTTAGTGTTGTGAACTCGTGGCTAAATATTCATAAAAGAGAGAGAGCTCAAAACCCATGACACAAAACGATCAAATTCGCGAAACTCATCCGCGCAATCGCGACCACAAATTGCATCCATGCATTGTGAATCATCTTACTCCTTGCTTGGGTTCGGAGCGCCGCTTCTTATCCATCTCTTACCTCCCTATACGTCTTTCTTTCTCCCTTCGTCACTCTTTCTCTTTCTCTCGTTCTGCTTTTCTCGCGTTTTCTTTCTCTTTTACGAAGCAGCTTGCTTTCTCTAAGATGGAATGCCATTGACTCCATGCATATCTGGCAACAAGGTTCCTCTCGACCAGCCTCACATACCGGGTGGTTCTCGTTCATTGGCGGGTCGAAACGTGAATGAAAAAGTGAAAGATTTTATTAACGTTCCGAAAGATCCGTGTAAAGTTGAGAAATGATCATAGGTTTACCAGTTGGAAGAAGATTCGGAAGTCAAAGTTTACGAAGATTCGATAAGATATAAGATTTAAAAAAAATCATTTGTGTGTGCAACTTTTTCCTCACTGAGAGTACACTCGAATCTTAAAAATGTAACACAAATTTTTTTATATAAAGATTTGTACTGTTGAATGTTAAAATACGTTGTCACGTTAGAAAAGTTTAATGTAAGAGACGTTTTGAGATCTTTGTAATTAATGTAACGTAATTAATAAATCTGGGGCGCAACACACAGTGAATTATCTGAGCAAACAGATAACCGAATGAACGGTTTTTTGCTCGAGCCACCCGTTAGACGCGTTAAGATGAACCTCTCAGCATAAACGGGATGAGATGGGTTGGGACGAGATGGGAGTCAGAGGCTCGTTAGCGGCACGAGGGGAGTCAACACTGTTGCCAGATTGTTATCCCTACTTCGGACGATGCAGTCCCGCGAGGCGAGCGCAACAAGGCAAAGCGCTCTGCAACAAGCAGACAACTCCGGGACGCGTTGTGCGAATATATTTTAAGATTCAAGTCTTCGCATATAATTAAAATAAAAAAAGCAATAAAAATATTCCTTAAAATTCCTTTTTCGTAACAGTAGAAATTAAATCAACACTAACAAATATTGTGTGTTATCTGAATTAGTTAGTTATGTATCATATTAAACGTTAATTTGTATAGCATATAGTCACTTTCTTTCCTAAAGAATGCAAAACAAACAAAGTAACAACTTACCAAACGATCGCGGCATTTCCAAAATAATAGAGCAACAGAAAAACAACAGCGCAATAAGGATTGGCTAAACCGTCCTGCGTGAGATACTGTTGTTGCTGCTGCTGTTGAGCTAGAACACCCTGCGAATGCGACGAAATCGCGGGTGTGCAAGCGACATTCAGCCGACCAGCTGCCAATCGGACCACATAGCCAATTGTGACTGCCGCGTGGCAGATCGTTAAGAAGATTATTGCACGTTCTGCAAATCACAAAATTAAAATATCGATTAAAATCTCTGTAAATTTGAATTCATCTTTTAGTTAAAAATACAATCATAATTAGCACAAAAAATCATATATTTTATATTATAAAAATTTAAACAAAATGTTTTTTTTTTCGCAATTAAATTCTCACCTCCGGACGTGGTTAATATAGGCTGTTTGCGCGGCTTTATTACTGTCAAAACGGCGAACGCGACGGATATAAGACACACTGTTGTGAACACGACCATCCAGGCCTCCATCAGTTTCTTGTCCTTCTGAGACCAAAGAATATCGGCGTCGCAAGCAGCAGCGCATCTTCCGGAGCGATTCAAGAAAATGTACAATCCCGATTTGGCGTACCAGGAGCAGCCCCAGGGTCCGTTGTTGGCGCTCACCGTCTGGTCAATGACAATATTTGCGTACAGACAAGTGAACCAACGGTAGGCTTATTAATTGTTTAATTAGCTAAGCCTACAAATATAATACCTGAATAGGGTTTGCCGGTCCGGGTTCACCCGGCCCTTCCATACACATATGTTGGTGATTGTTCTCCGGTGGAAACTTGGAGCAATTCAACGCGGCCGGCCAGGGAAAACCAAATCCCTGAAGGACCGGGAAACAACGAGCTCGCACTTGCTCGCACAGACCTCGGCAAGGCCCGATAGGTGCAGGTACTTTTTCGGTGCACATAGGCGCATATACCGAGCACAGAAACAGATGCAATTGTGCACTGCAATAATTGAATTTTTCATTTTTTTTACAATTTTTTTTCAACTTTAGCGCTTGTGAATATATAAAAACATTTTAGAATTAAAAGTAAATTAAAAATCAGTAAGTTAAGTTTTATATCTACTCATTGATAATAACAAAATACTAATAATAACGAAGTAAATATGATTAAGATAAAATTATACTGATGTAACACTCATATTACTATGAATAACATCGAGAGGAAGATCCAATTACCTGCATCCATACTGAATAAGCGGACTGAACGTCTGTAAAGTAAAATCAGCATCGCCTTGTATTTCGTGGCCGACGAGATTCGGCATAACAGTCTCATTGTAGCCGAGACCGCGGCACATTTCTATTCTGATTGGCTCGCAGGCACCGTGCGCGCACCATATCGCACGTACAAATGTTAACAGCAAGATCCACCTCATTTTTTGCTGAAGATGAATGTTGTCGAACTATTTTATTATCTCTTTGAACTTTGAGTCTTATGTTACCCACCGTCGATCGATCAACGTACCGAGATCTCGTTTGTGCATTATGCAGAGAATTCAGTTTGCAATTTTCTAAAAAAAACCTGAAACACACGAAGAAATTAGAACTTTGAAGAGACAAAAATACAAAAATGTAGTTATTTATGTTAAATTGTAAGTTTTTGTTTACATAATTCTAATTGCAAGAATATACAAAATATAATGAGAAATTAGTGCAAAAATATATTGAAACAAAAACGTACTGTTCAAGTTATTAACTCAATTCCTATGTTCTTTTTACTGGTCAAGAATACGATCTTTCCATTAATTACGGTCCTGTCGCACAGCTTCGTTTAAAAAGCTGTCAAATCTGATTTCGGTTTTAACAAGCAGATTTAATTAACTTGTTTGCGCATTAAACGAGATTAATCCAATTGACTCTCACTCCTTTCCTCGCTCTCTCACGGAGACACTCCTCGGTGGTTTCAATTTAATCAAGTGTCAGCTAGATTCGAAGAATCGGATCTTGACGCAAACTCATTTAGTTTCACTCACAAATTGCACTTAGTGTCGAAGTTTGCACCAACAGATTTGGACATAAACACGTTGCATACAAGAAAACAAATCTCGCTCTCTTGATTCATCTTTTGAAAAAAAAACAAAAAAAACAAAAAAAACAAAAACCGATCTTCTTGCTTCCTCCTCGGACAGAGGAGTAGATCCTCTACGTGCGTGCACGCGTGAGTAAATGGAGCGGAGAACACAAATATAATTACTCACAGACAATGAGTTAGTCGCAATCTCCGCGTGCACGTGTGACACACGCGGCGAAATAAACGTGCGGAGCTACGCGCGGGAGCGAGCAATTCCCTCGGTTCCGGCGCGAATGCAGCCGCGGCGTATCAATCACAAAGGCAGTCACATAATCGGGTCGTGTTTTCACCTCGGAAACGCCATTTCCGCGCTCAGTGCGCATCGGCGAAACGGGGAAGGCGAGCACGCACGTCACGACGATCCCGTCGTGCTCGAATTGCCCGCGAATGAAAACAATTAAACAACAAATCACCTTCCACTCCGCGAGAACGCGCGCGCAACCTAACCTCTCTCCTCGTTGAAGATTTCCGCCCGACTGAATGTGCGAGCGAACGCCTCGTTCGTGATCGCGCCCCAGCGACGTCTCTGCAGACGTCTGTTTATCCCCTCTTCGTTCGCTTTCTTTACAGGGCCTTCTGGCTTCTATACTCTTCTCCCTCTTTCCCCCTCCAGGATTTCCGTCTCGCTCTCTTGGTCTGCTGGCTGGCCTGGCCCGTGTATTGCGCGACGATCGAGCGCCGATCAGGTCGATCGACCAAATCGTTCCGCGCTTATTATGTGGCGGATTTACTGCTTACAATGGAGAATTACGCACACATAATTACGCGATGAGAAAAAAATTGTATTGTTTAGTGAAAATTTAAGTGATCAGCGAACAAAAGGATCACGTGTTACAAATTATAAATATAAATTTATTTTGTTGATCTCGATTTAACATAAAAAACTTAACTAGAAGCAGAGTATTTGATAAGTTCAAATTCTTGTTCTTTTGCGTTTTAGCAGCTGCTAAACTTACAAGATGTATCAACGGGAGTTAGAAGGGGCGGAAGGGGCACAGCAGCACGTTCTCATTATCATATCCCGATGTTTGGCAGCAGTTAAGGTTGGCTTTATGGGCTGTATTTTCTTGGTATAATTGGGCCCTGGGTTCCCCTCTTTATTCTCACTTTCTATCTCGTTCTCTCATTTGGTTTCTTACGTTTCTTGCTTATAGCTGGTCTGGTCCTTTTCTCTCTCTTTCCATCGTTTTAATGATCAAATTTATTACAAGATAATACTTTTCTTCTTTCTTTTCTAATTTGAGCGCGAAATGATAACTTTTGTTAATGTAAACAAGACAGTAGCGTTGCTGTGAGCTTCTTCCTTCGCAAAAATTCATCAATCGTTGGAAAAACATACTTGGAAGCACGTATTCCAATAAGTCGCACGCATTTCAAGTTTTAACTCTCTGGTTGTAATATCAAAAAAGAAGATCCTCATCTGTGTTATCAAATGCGTGCAAATCTTGAACCGGATTGCGTTGGGAGAATTTTCCCTTACATTGTTTTATCTTACATTCTCGTATCCTCTTGAGCCGATAAAATTCTTCTCGCTCGTACTCGTCAAGTTCGGTGACGATGTACGAGAGAGTGCGTTCTAACCGAGGTATAATGATGTGTCGGAGAGCGTTCACGCGACGATTGGTCTCCCTGATTACTTGATTCAGAATCTGGAAGTTGCGCTGTAGCGACGCCAGCTCGACCAACAGCTCTATTGCTTTCCCGTAATTCTTCTTTAATTTAGCCAACTATTTACGTAGGAAGTAATTAATTGCGGTTTAAAAATGCGAGAAATTAATTTTTCTTTGCTTATCTCACTCGTTTTATCGTACAGCTAACATTGTAAATATATATGCATGTGATTAAAAAACACACACACACACCTGTTGACCGCCTCTCGCCAATCCGGCGAATTCGAAGGGATCGGCGCCGCTACGAAAGGGCTCATACGTCCAAAGACGAACCCCGCCGATAATCTCTTGTACAGAGTGAATCCTGAGTCTGGCCTTGTCAACCATCTGTAGGACCAGCTCGTTCACACCACCTGTCACATAATTCACCTCAACTAACGAGAAGGCCGCGTTCCTCATAACTTCGCCGAGTTGAGATTTGTTTTTGACTAATTTCAACGCGATCGCACGAAATTGAATCACGAGACCGTCGACCTTTTTTGCGAGTAAATCGCGACCTCTGCGAGCGCAAGCCAAACGGCATTTTATATTCGTGTATGAGCTAGTCGTTGGAAAGACTGCCAATCTATCTACGATTTCCATGACTGTTCGACGTCAATCTCGTTAACAAAATAAATAAACTGTTTGTGCGACTCGAGACGTTCAGCTGTGTGATAAATTTAAACAATCTTCAATTATCCTTCTCTTTTTTTCTCTTTTGTTTTTGTTGTAACATTGTGTACATCTATACTTTTAATTACAATTTTTAGTCGGACAAAAATTATATTGAAATTGAATCCTTATAAGAGGTGAAATTCTCGCGAGCATCGGTGGTTCAGTGGTAGAATGCTCGCCTGCCACGCGGGCGGCCCGGGTTCGATTCCCGGCCGATGCAAGATGCTTTTTTTTTTTTCTTATAAAGAGAGGATAAATATAAAAAATATTTTGAACTTTTACTTTTTTATTAAGAAAATTATACTTTATAAGAGAAAAAAAGAATTATTTATGAAATGCGAGTAAAAAAAATTCCTATGCATCGGCCGGGAATCGAACCCGGGCCGCCCGCGTGGCAGGCGAGCATTCTACCACTGAACCACCGATGCTCGGTTATCAACAAGTCTCTAATATCGTCTTTAACTTTGTGTGTGATTGAATATTGTAAGTTTTATTTAAAATAAGAGACAGATGCAAGGGATTTAATTTAGATAATTAGTTTTATAAACAACTTATTATTTTATAAACAATTTAGACAATTAGTTTTATTAACAACTTATTTTGATCAATGGTTCAGATCCCAATATTGTTCACCATACTCGCCATTCTTGTTACCCCATTTTACCTAAAATTCATCAAGTTTATATTACAAATAGATTATACTTAAGGTGCTAACAAATCACTAAATGACGTATATGTCCTATTCTATAATTTAAAAATCCCTAAAAAACAATTACCTTGCCACTGTGGCGATTGTTGTCAAAGTCTTTTCGTTCGAATCTCTGCTCCCACTCATTAGGATTCTCATAGACGTGACCAAATTCAAATTGGAGAGGTGCCACATGTTCAGAAAATATGTCTCTGTGCGCGTGGAATAAAAACATAAATAGTTTTAAGACTACTTTATCAGTTTTCACATACTATATATAATTACATATATAATGATTATTTTGGAACACTCACTGAAAATATCGTTCTAGTGACAAAACATCCGCATCCTGCTTCGAAATCTCTTTTTTGTTTCCAGCTTCTGTATCTGATTGTGTAATAATTATAATAAATTAATTCACTAAGTTCTCGAAAACTAATAACAAAACACTATTTGTATTTATTAACGTTTCCTCAAGTGGGACACATGATTTACTTGCCAGTTACAGTTGTTTCTCCAAGTTTTTCCGTTGAATTGAGTGTAATAAGACTTGTGACAAATAATACTGTTATTGTTTGTATCAGGAATAAAAAGTTAAGACTGTGTTTTTTATACATTGTTATATTCAATAAATTCGATAACTTAAAAACTCGTAATAAATAAGCAAAGACTTTGATGTTTACTGAACAAATAGTGAATGTGTACTGAGTGAGTGAAACTGTAATTTCCATATCTTAGGTGAGATTTAAATGACACGGTCTATTTAACATAATAGTGAAAGCAGAGAGCACAATTTATTGTTATAGAATTGTTGCTATAAGTGTCTAATTTTTCTCTTATAAACAATTATACATAAATAACAAATATAATTTTCTATTTTAATATTATAGTTCTATTTTAGATAACATTTTATACAAGTAATATGTTAGGTTTACAAGTATAATACGTTATAATGTTATAATAATAATACGTTACAACGAATAAAACAAGAACGCTTAACAAAGATCTTGGGTAATTCTATGAACGCTTCCAATTATTTATCGAATGACAAGAGATCGCTGTTTTTAGCACATTTCATTAAAGATTGAATCAACTTGACGAATCCTGTATCCTTAGGCTTCTCCAGACCGCGAAGAACCCGGTTCTTCATGACAGCGACGAACTCTCGATTACTAAGCTGTCCATCCACTGCAAAAACGCAAGATTCACGCGATAAATGATTTCAGCTTAGAAAAAAATAAAATTAGTAATTGTTTTTCGCAGTCTTTAGCATGCGAGTAGCATTTTACTGATAAAGTAACTCACTATTCTCGTCGAAAATTGTATACACTACTTGAATAATGTGATCACTCAAATCAACGTGAGCAACCGTTTTTGCTACATGTTTCAATGTTGCTGCAAAAACACCAGAAAATTACATATAAACAAATAGACAAAAGATACTGTGATTTTATTCAAAATTATCTATTTTATTATCTTGAATTAAAATTCTGTCTATATAATTTGGGAATATTTTTAATTAGACTACAATGCTATGTACCTTGATCAATAGATGCTCCAGCTATATGATAGAATGTTAAAGCTGTATCAACATCGTTGATATTATTCAAAAAATGGAAAAACTTAAGATATTCTTCTTTGCTAATTCCTTTCGGGTCTTCCTTGAAGCTATAAACAATTAGTTACGTAAATCGAATTCCGGATCGTAAATAGACACGAAACTACAGTGTTTCTCAATAAAATTGTTAGATCAAATTTAAAAAGAATAAGCATTTTTTTACACTTACGCTTTCTTAACTCTTTTCAACATCTTCGCTTTTTTCTTTGCTGGATATCCTGCATAAGCCAACAATAATTCCGTAAAATCTACCTCAGTGATGTTGCCATGCTCATCCGGATTTCGTCGTTCGAACTAAAATAATTATATAAATCAATGCGTAAATATGTTGAATATAATATATTGAACATTGATATCTGTATATTATATGTACTTCGAGACTCAAGATCTCTCGTTGCAGTTGTTGTTGAAAATCCAAGAACTTTTCAATTGTTAACTTTTGATTCATTTGTGGTCCGAAAAAGTATGTCGTAAGCGCGGAATTTACTCCCTACATAATTAAACAAAGTTTTAAAAGATTATCGTGTGAATTTAGATTATTTATAATAAAATATTTATAATTTTTCATATATAATATTTTAATGTTAATATCAATTATGACCTTAAATGTGTTTCCTGTGGTTGCATGATCACGATGTCGAGTGCCTATGCTAGTCTGTTGACGTATCAGCGTAGCTACTTTGCCAAACTCCTCGGAATCGACGTCACCATCTCCATTGAAATCAAACATCCTGAAGGCGATTTCGAAGTGACGTCTAGAAGCTATGAGATGCAAACTTTAAGTACTTGAGGAAATTAAATATGTTTAAATATGTTTTAAAATATAAAATTTTTTATCAGTCATAGAGTTTAACACGAAGTAGTAGACAACTCACTTGACAATACAGTCAATAAAAAGATATAATCCGAAAAAGTAATGAGGCCTGCACTGCCGAGCTTGTAAAAAATACTGTCTTCATCCAATTCCAATTCTAATTTTGTATGAATATTCTGGACATATACAGAATAAATATACCATAAAAATATTTTGCTTGTGATATTTTTGTTATACTTTATTAACGTACCTTTGGATCATAACGTTTATACTGATCTAGTCCAAGACCTGAAAATTATAATGTATGTCAAGGATTATAAACTACTATTGCATAAATTTCTTTTGTATTTTTAAACAATTAAGTACAAAACCATATACTGTGTGTAATCTGTATTATAAATTATAAGTTAGAAAATGTTAAATTTGTACAAGCAAAAGACTTTTGCAAGAAGTATCATAAAGTGCGATCAATAGAGAAACTCATGCACAAAAAGCAACATTTATCAAGAAATAATGAGAAATATACAGTAAAATACAGGTTTACCATCAGGCTGCTTTACGCCAGGCGTCATCGATCTTAAAAAGTCATCTGGTGTCATAAACACCTCGTGCACATCGTTATTCGTGACTTGAAGAGTCGCGAAGTAACGGAACACTTTGTCCGGTGTCGAGTAATGTCTCATACGATTTTCATACTCTATTATCTAGGCATACAAGAGTTGATTGATAGTAGCGAGTTAGGTTGCAAGACGATCGTACATTGAGGAAAAATTATGCCTTGATAATGTTATTCATATCCAACACAATTTTTTATTTGAAGCTTATTTAGTAAGTTTTTATAGTATTGGCAGCCTTGTATTACATAAGATTATAAAGCTTTTAGCAGAGCGAGGCAGGTGAGTAATTGTTAGTGAGATAGTAAGTAGTTATTAGATAATAGATAATTGTAGCCAATTAAATAACCACGTTTTTGTACACATTACAAGAACTCTACCATTTGGCTGTTGCATGCCTGGTGTGATAGATCGTAGAAAATCATCAGGTGTCATAAAGATCTCGGTACCCTGTAAACTATTTATTTCCACAGTTGCGAAGTAACGAAAGATTTTGTCTGGAGTTGAATATGCTCTTATCCTGTTCTCGTATTCTATTATCTGTAAAAATACTTCAGCCTGCATCGTCCTGCCGCACAGATACATGCTACTTTTCTTTTTTTCAAATTGGTATAAAATTAATTTCTTTTCATTTCTATACATTTAAATAAAAAACAATTATGCAAGTGTTGGCTTCTGTGTTTTATTATTCAAAAAAAAAAAAAACTAAATGTCACGACCGACACAAATAAAATTCTTTATGATTTATAGTAAAATTCTTGCAATATATACATATAGTTGTGATACAATATTGAAGAATATTATTATATATTTTTATCGAGAATATATATATAACAATATAATTATATAAAGTAACTTCAAAGAACTAATAACTGAACTCGCTTTTTGTACCCTTTGTAAGTCTAATTGATTATATTATGAATGTTCAATAAACCTTTCTGTCTCGAAATCCAATCTTCTGTTTCTTGTTTTTCTTTTTCTTTTGTAACTCCTGTTCTGTGCTCTCTATATTTTCATTATTCTGATCATCTTCTATCATACTAGCAGCATCTACCTTAGGTATCAAACCAAAGTACCTATGTAAAAAGAAGAAAAAATATACAGTATGTATAATAAATTAAACTTTAATCATTAAAAATGTTACATTAATTTCTTATACAAAACAATAAAATAAATTTTAATTCTTTTTCTCATGCGTTTTTTTTCTAAGAATAACTGTTATTAACATATGGATATCAACTTACTTTTGCCAGTCAAAAAACTGTGCCATCATTACAATAGTACAAATTAAACTAGGAACAATAGTATAAAATCGGGTCTTTCTTCTTGTATGACCAAAGTTTTTATAATTACGAGTCTGTTCATATCTGTAAGTATTTTCTCTGTAACTGTTACATTCTGGAACATAGAATCCAACAATACCCAGAAATTTGTGTTGCAAATGTTGCCGCAACATGCATGTGCTTCTGCTGAACAGCATTGTTACTCTGAAATTGAAAGAAATTTGTATACATGTGTGTGCATTGTATGTTAAATTATTTTATAATGTAGTATCGTAAACAAATGTAAAAAATTTATACTTGTGTGTTTATATAGATTTGTTCGTTTTTAACTATATTATAGTTTATTATTCTACAATATTAAGTGGCAATAAACGCAAAACACTTCTCACATAATTTATAGTTTATTATTCTACAATATTACGTGGTAACAAACGCAAAACTTTTCACATAATCATACACACACTTATCGAACAAATTTGTTAACTAAATGCACTGCAAAATTTCAAATATTATAATTAATATGTACATATATATAATTACATATTTTATTTTGACTAGATTTCAGAGGTTACAACGGACAACAGTAGGGTAGACGCACTCATGCGCACGAGCAAACATATACGTAATATGTTCACAAGCGGGTCTGTTCCTGTTTTCCGTCATTTCCTTCCCATCTAAAAAAAGAGTACGTAAATAAAATTGCTTTTAATTACAAATGTATATACTTTAAATCTAAAAATATATTATGAGGATTTAATTTTTTATTGTTCTTTCGACAACTTTATCTCAATGAGACACAATAGGTACGTACGAGCAAAAAATGAGGAAATGTCGGCCCTGCTTGCTTCGATTTGAATCCGTGTGAATCGTATGCGTTGGTGAATGTTGCGTGAATGAAGATTGTCGAAGATTATGATATAATAAATGTTGATTAAACAGAAGTGTCATGCTTAATTAAGAGATTAAATAGCATAAAAAAACGAAGATGATCTTGGAATATATTTTATCGGAGTGAAATGTGTTAAAAAATGGCTAAATATGTGTATGCTTAGTTTGTAGGTTACGTTCGTGAATAAGTGTCTCTATGTGTTTTTATAAATAAAAAATTATTATTGTAAATATATTATAATCAAACGAGATCATGTCGATTTGCTGGGAAAAGAAGAAACCGAAAATCTGTAAGGTGAGTAATACTCATCTCAGATAAAGCTTTTATATAATACCAGAGATGATACAAAGACAATGTCTTATAATTCAACTGCTGCAAATATATAAAAGTTTTAGAATGTTTGCCGCAAATTGGCAATATTTAGCATTAAATTGCTTGGTGGCTCTATTTTGTAGGCAATTAACATGGATGGTATTGTGTCAGAGTTTACTTGTCTCAAAGTGTCTGCTCTAAGTAAGGTGTCACGCATATCAGCTATGGTGGAGATGAATCATACGGTAGACCTGCAGAACAAAGATAACTCTGACAAGCTAGAAAATATTGAAAACGAGCAAAATTTATGTAACATCAAGACTCCACGGAAAACTAATGTCTCCCCTAAACTAAATATTTCTTCATCAAATGGTATTTACTTCTCAATCAACAAGATTCATGTGGAGAATGAGCTACAAAGGAAAGAGAATGTCAGGGTAATTATTATCAATTGTTTTAAATTTATGCATATATAATTTAATCTATCTTCAATGTTACTAGGAATTTGTGTATTAAAAGACAATATTTCTATAAATTGCAAAGCATAATTTAATTAAAAGGATAATTTACAAAAATATTTTTTTTCTAAATAATTAAAGTCACGTTGTACCTTTAGAAAGAAATTCAACGTCATGTTGAACATATGGAGCAGAATGATCGCGCTATCCAGAAGCAAATGGCAAATATGCGCTCTGCGATGGCACGTGAACGAGAACGACGGAGCGCAGAAAAACTAGCATATATTTTAGCTGAGGAGGAACGTATCGCGGAACAAGAAGAGATCAAAAGACGACATGAACAGCAATTGCAAGCACAGCGTGCTGAGGAACGAAAAGAGGAGGTTGAACGGAAGGTGAAAGAGTACCTAAAACAGAAAGAAAAAGAAGAGATGATGAACACCGTGCTTATCAACCGACACCAATTTTTGAGCACATATTGTGACATCGCACAATTATGCAAGACTTGCAAGGATGAAGATTTATTCAACGCGATTCTTGCGCCAAATACCGCAAGAATACAAGAATTGGTTCAACAGTTGCAAACTTTACAGAATAAACTCGAAGTAATTAGAAATATTAAATGTTATGTATAATTTAACATATTTTTATAATATTTTTGTAATAGTAAGTGCGATATATATCAAATCGTAACTCCAAGAGAAAATTTCACCATTTGTCTCAAGAGAAATCAATAAGTCCATTTATTTATATTTTTATAATATAATTCATATTATATAAAACAATCGTAAATTTTCAGAGCGAAGAATTAGACGCCACCGATGTGAATCTAAGCGAAATTATACTCATTGCCATTAATGAAGAGCTAAATGTATTTCAGACAGAGATAGGTTTGTAAAGTGCTTGAGAATAGTCAAAATTGTGTTCTCTTTTACTCGATAAACTTTTGTTAAGTGTAATATGATATAAATTGTTTTTATTTTAGAAAAAATTAATATTCAATACGAAGCTGAATTAATGCAAAAAGCGAATGAAATTCATTGTCCATCGGTTGTGGAAATTCAAAACGTTCCAGTTAGCGATGCGGCATCTTTTCAACAATCGGATGTGACTAATAATGTTGCGGAATTCAAAGAGACTAAAGAACAAATCTCTAACGTAATTATAAATCAGGAAGAAGCAGTTACGCCTCAACATGAAATAGTCGCGCCTCCTGTATCTGAGACTAATTCAAACATAGCACCTAAAGCTTCTGAATGTAAAAAAGGTGAATCTTAAACATCTTTGGAAACATTGATACATATAATTACATATACATGTTTAATACATGATCATATTTAGATTTTGTGCTTGGACAGAAAGATTAATGTTAATGCGGTTCTTTACAGAAAGTCTTTCAGAATATGTCGACAAGGAATCGCTGCAAATCTATCTGAAGAGCCGACAAATTTTAGACCGTTACAAAAGCGCTCACAAAGATTTCTTGCAATCAGCCGATACAAAGAAATTTCGTTTCGAATGTCAGAAAGCAATCAATATTCCGGTGAACGCGATCTCCGGTGTTAGTGAGCAACATTTGAAAGACAAATATAACAGACTGCAAAGTTTTCTGACTGGAAAATCGTCTCCTAATGTGATGCAGCATCCGCAAGGGATGACCTACTGTAAGGATCATCTGGCAAAGAAATTGGTCGTACGTATCCGTGAATCTTTTTATAAATTATAAAAACAATACATTTTAAATTACTTTTGAATTTATATTTGATCTCTAGAACCAGGGTGAAACATTGGTGTCCAGTAAACCGAAAATGGCATTCCCCGTGGCAGTGATCGTCATCGCTCTCTGGAATGAACACGCCGATTTCGGTGACTTGTTCTTGGCGCATCTTCACGAAGTATGCCCGTTTATCGTGCCAATCTTTCCACAACAACAGGAAGGTCAGTCTAACGAGGATTACTACAAATCCCTCGGTTGTAAATATTCTGAGGACGGTACCGTCGAAACGCAGGACAAGTTTCTGAAGAGAATGTCTGGTCTCATGAGATTGTACGCGTCGATTACGGTCACAAGACAGCTCAAGGGTATAGCCAAAGCTCATCCTCATGGTCTTCAACACGCTTGGAGATGGCTAGCAGTTGTTCTGAATATCGGTAGGATCACATTTATATAATAAATACAATTTGTCTAAAACAAGTTTTACACGCAATATACGCGTGAAATTAAATGTTTATTTCATATATTTAAAAAACAACAAATTTATCTTCTCGATATTCAGCACCGAGAGTTGACATTTGCAACTTATGCGCGACCTTGATACTGGATATGCTTGAGGTCGCCGGGAACTCATTGTGGAACAGTTATCCGACGCAGTTCCCTAAATTGCTGACGCTGCTGAAAGAGCAATACTATCCAGAAATGCAGCGAGTTATGGGCGATGGTGGCGGACCTCTGATGCGATTGGATGAATTTCTGAACAACGCTCTCGCGAATGGTGCTATACGTCCCGCTGATGGCATGCTTCCGCTGAACTTTTTTTGATCTTACATACAAGCGCTCCGACGACGTAAAGACCTAAATATAGGCTGAATCTATCGCGAGTCTAGCAATGGACTAAGAAACGTCTAACAAATTTGTACTGGATTGTAAAAATTTACACAGAATGGATTTATATGTTACTTATTGCGAGAAAAAATAGAAACGAGCAAAAGGAAGGAAAATCAATCGAGACAAAGGATCTCTTTTTAACGAATCGTGTATATATAAGATCGAGGATAAATTTACAAATTGTATTTATTCAATAAAACAATCACATTCTTTGTAGAGAGAACGTATTAACAAATATATATAAATGTTGATAAAACTCATATGAGATATAATAAAAGAGTGAACAGTAAATAACACAAAGTTTAATAATAGGGTACGCTAGTAAGCACGGATTTCACATCGTTCAGATTGTAGTAATCCGTGGAGTTCTCGGCAAAACCGATGACGCCGAAGGACGATAATCTATCCATCCATTCTTTGTGCTGATTTATACTTAACAGATAAGTTGCGATCTCTTTGGCGAGTTTATCCGCTGAACAGAAACGATTAAGAAAATTAGTGAAACAAGGCGAGATAAAAGTAAAAGGAAAAAGAAGTATCTTATTTTCTATAGATCGCATTAAACGCGATTTATAGAAAATGCCTGAAACAACACATATATACCCAATGCTTTGTTGAGCATAATGCGATAAGGCGGCAAAGGTCCTAAACTGGTGAGGATGTGAAGAAACTCTGCGCCGGATACAGTGAACTTGTGGCATCCGATCACCGGTGCTTCCAAGATGCCCACTTCTGCCTGCTTGCCGGCAACCATCTGCAATACGGCGAGTTGCGAGCTGGCATCTGCGAGATTTAATTAATAACAGAAGAAACTTGGTCAAAAACTGTTATTCAAAGTAAGTCCGTTTGTTCGAGAAATAGAGACCAATGTATATATTACAGTATTTTCTCTCAAAATTATTTTGTTTTTTAAATTAAAAGTATTTTTGACAACTGACCGAGTGTATTGCCGAAGAACGCCGGATTCTCGCCTTTTGTGCGCAAATAATTGAAGAGCAACCCGGCAGCGCTGACTTGATTACGTCTGTCCGGAACAGCGCATCTGTGTCCTCGCAAGTCCATAATGTCCTGCAATTAACGAGAATTCATGTATATATATATATATATATATATTACTTCTTCAAAACGCTCCGTGAAAAAAAATTCGCGAGAAACGAGTCTCATTTACCTCGACATGCGGAGCACGATCAGCCGCGACGATTACGTCGGCGTAAACGCAGGGCGATTTGCTCTTATTCAGATAATGCTTGAAAACGAAGCTGGCGGGTAAGAGGACTCCGTCTTTCCAATCCTCGCTCGCTGGTAAGATAGCTGCAACAATAAAATAAAAAGATCTACATGTGTAATTATCTATATGTATATATAATCGTTTGTTGTGACGAAATAACAGTGCGCTTCCCACCAACGCTATCGAGCAACAACAGTTGCCAAACTTAATCGCCTTGAGACGAGATGACGTCACAACAATGAATCATAGTTAAACACATTACAAAGGCCGTTTGATGCAACCTTTTAGAAAGATCTTGAAAGAGAATGATATCTGAACAAACATTATTTTTCGGAAGCGTCTTCACTGAAGATCTATGATTCCGTTGTCTAAGGTCATAAAAGTCTTGCGCTTGGACATACCTATGTCAGCAATATCCTTTGCGACTGGTCGACCGATTCTAGGTTCGTGCAACAGGACAACCGGCTTCTTCGTAACGACTTCGACGATTTCCACGAGTATTTCGAAGAGTCCAATTGGCATTGAGGGCACAAGATGCGTTGTCAGGACTAAAGGACGCTCTTTCAAACTAGGTGCCGATATTGGCGCCCATGTTCTGGGCACTGCCGCGTTCCAAGGTGTGTGAGAGTCCTAGATGGTCATTTTTAAGATTACTTAATTCACTTTTTAATTTTTTAACACATTTATTTTACTGATTTATGTCATTTAATAATTTTAATATTGTGGAAGAAAGGAACGTAAGATTTTTTATCGGGAACGTATAAAAATACAAAGTTTTTCATTATTATGACAGTAATAGTTCCTAAAGATAATTTGCTACAACTTTTATATCTTAAAATCTTTAATTATTTTTAATAAAAAATAAATTAATTAAAAAGTGACTGTATTTGGAGCGATAATTAAAATTTTACAAGATTATGTATGATGTGTGTAATTGCTGTTTTATATATTGTACAAAACATTAAGAATCGACAAAAAAGACTTACAGTTTTTTCGACAACCGGAATCTTTTTTGTCTTATTTACAAGTGGTTTTGTATCCTTGACAGAATTCTCTTCGGGAATCTTAGAGGGATTTTTTGACGTATTATTTTTAACATCATCTTCAACGTCCTTTGTCGATGCTGCTTTTGGCATTTCGCATGCTCTTATTACTTCAGAAATCTGCGCGGAATTTTGAGAATTGACGTCCTGAACGTTTTTCTGGAGTTCCGTCTTCTGCACTTCGTGTACTTTTGTCATTTCCTTCGCAACCTCCTCAGTTTTCTCTATCGGTATCTTGCTCTGCACTTGCTCCTTTTTTCTTTTCGGGGGGCTTTTTTTCGTCTCGCACACAACGTCGTTTGATTTTTCGGGAGATTCGACGGGCGCCAGCTTCGAATCGACGACGGGAGCCGGTTTTTCGCTCATCTTCGTGCTGCGGATAGAATCGACGAAAATTCCAAAGAGGTTCCCGAAGAGACTCACTCAGGAAACTTCCCCGAAGACACGTTTCTCGAATCGATCGTGACTGCAAACTGTCGATCAACCGCGACCGATAGAAACCTCGGTCTCTTTGCGATCTGTGCTATGTGTGCGTGGTTATCGTCAGTCGTCGGCCGCGTGACAAGCGCGTGTATACCACGACCGATGATGCCGCGATACCGGTCTCCCCAGAGAGGTCGCGAGTACATTCCCAAGTGATTTTCCTTTTCTCTTTCTTTCTCCCACGCACGCAACTCATTAACCACGTATTTAGCAACGCACTTCTCAAGTGCCGGGTGTCAATTCTCAACAATATAGATGTACAGAAGCATCGAAGAAACTCAATTTATATATATATGTAACTCGTCACATATCATACATCGAACATGTCGTCGTCATCTGCGTCGTCTGCAGGAAATCGTACAGGTAAGTTATTTACATACAAATTTCCATCAAAGTTTATATATGTGTGAATAAAAATACTACAGTTAAATGGACAAGAGAAAAACAAGCATATTCGCGATAATGAACATTTTAATCATTTTCTGACATTTCATCACTTTTTTCTCAATCTGCTTGCAATATTTCTTTTTCAGAATTCACTTTTTTCTTTTCGGTCGAAGGCAAAAAATTTTTCCAGTTTATAAGAATCCTGAAACTCGACTGACGTTGTTGGATTGAAGTGCGTATATGGATTTTCACGTCGTTAAAAGCGGGTCCTGCAAACGGACGAAAGTCCCACCGACCCGTTTCATCGCATTCACGGCCGATGAAGACTTCATCCGGACGCATCGCTCGCTCTAATAAGATTCGTTATCCGAATACGCCGTGATCCGACGCGACTTCGACAATGAGTCATCCTGATTTCTTCCGGGAAGCCTTCCCCGCCGTTCTGGCTCACGGTCGAAGCTTTGTCTTCGAAGTCGATCTTGAGGTGTCCGATTTCTAATTCGATGCCGCATTGCGATTGGAGCTCAGAATATTGAGAAACAAGCCTTTCTTCTTTCTTTTTTCTTTGTGAAAATAAATACTTCAACACGACACTTCACCTCTTCGGAAGAAAGTAAAACAAAACCCTTATTAAATATATTTTAAAGATCAAGACTGAAATTTAAACACTTAACATTCAATGGAATCGCGTAATGAAAAACATTGACGTTTTCCAACTGATGAGAGAAATCCAATCGCGATAAAAAATGATCGACTTCTCCTTCCCGCGATAAGACACGTTCTTGCGGCTTACTTTCAATTGTGAAAATGTGCGGACTATCGTGGTTCAAGGTCCCGTGGAATGCACGAGTTCCGTTCCACGCTGCACAGGTGTAACCTGTCAGATGATGTCACCGCGCACATTCGAGAATTTGCGATCGAAACAGTCTTATATACGATCCAATGCGATCGAGCATACGACACGATATCGCGAGTTTTCGAGTCGTTTTGTGAAACAAAGAGCACTGCGCTAAAATGTGTTCTTATCTCATTTATTTTGTTTCTTTCGCGGAAAAATCGCGCTTGATTGCTTTATTTGTACTGAGAGTTTGATTTGATTAAACTGTCGAAAAATTTCGAGTTCTGCGCCAATGCGCAGTAAAGATGCTTATCTGCAAGCGTGCGCAGTTTTGAGATTTGCAGAGATTTGCAGAAAACAACTAATGAACTAGCTTTAAATTGTTAATAGTGATATAGGCAGAAACTTGTACACACGAAGTTGTAGTTTTTCATTGTTCAAATATTATTTGAGGCAATTGGTGCGATTTCGTGTGTAAGTAAAGGCATAAATGCCTGTGATGGGAAAAACACATATTGAGTTATCCCTTCGCGGACAAAAATAGATTTACCAGACCTATTCAAAAATTGCGCATCGGAATTTCTAAAAATTGATTTTTTTCAACGCTTATATCTTTGAAAATATTAGAGATTTTTTCTCTTTTTTTTAATGAACGCAAAAAAAAACAATTGAAACAATATTGATTTCTTGCGGAGATATTCGATTTTAAAATCGCGCGGGTCTTACAGATCTAGTCTGTCCAACTAATCACTTTTGAGGTCTGTTCACGAAAGATTATTTAAGATCTCAAACTAGAGAGAAAAATCAAATATCGAAAGAATCTTAGCGAAAGTATGCAATCGGGATCTTGTTCTCTTCGGCTTGAACTTTCACAAAAAGAGAAGTTACCAATGATAAATACAGTTAATACCACTAAACTAAGTCGTGCATCTTAAATATACAAATAAAAGAGTTAAGAAATATATAAAAAGAGAAGAGCTCGATTTTTGAAGTTGTGACATTGAGAAAAAAACTAATTTCATTTGGAGATCTCTCATAATAAATGTAAAAGAGAATTAGAAAGAAATTATTTTTTGAGTGGAAAATCGTAAATGACATTTATTTATCGAATCTTCACCGAGAAACAGATCTGGAAGTGCGTTTTTAAAATTCACAAAATTCTGCGCGAAGATGTAATTACAGCGTCGACTTTCATGCTATTCTGGTTGATAATCTCAGAGATAAGAACGAAGATTCCGGCAAGTAACTTACTTAGGAAACGGTCTCGTGACGTGTGCGCTTCTTCGACGCGAAGGAGAGAATTTTCCGTGTGAATTTTTTGGCAAGCATAATTATGAAGATCCGATGGTGTGCGTGTGTGTGTTGACGACAAGAGCCGGTGACGCGCGGCGTCGCGTCGCGATGCTGCTCATGGATGTTGTTTCCTCGTCGCGTAACTTGCGTTATCGCGCGTCGTGAAGCGCGCGCACGAATCACTCGTAAATTCACGTATTACGTAAATCCGTGCACGATCCCGTGTGTGTACGCACAGGCCAATTAACGGCCAGCGTTTCTTTATCGCGTTGTCACGGTTCATGGCAGGAGTCCGCCGCGACACGACGAGTCTCCCGATGATATTCCGAAAAAAAACCTTGTCGAGAGTGGACCGTTCGCTCGCTTCACGAGAAAGAGAGAGAGAGAGAGATTCGTCGGTTTCTGCGGATATTAATCTGACGACGCGAAAAAGCAGCCGAGCACGTGATGCGCCGCGGGAATATCGAATTAATATTGAATGAAATAATTAGGAGAGATATTGCGAGAATTTCTCGGAATTTATAAATGCGCAGCGAAGAAAAAATTATATCACAATCATGTGTTTCGAATTGTAAGAGAGCAAAGCAAGAGGTGAGATAGGATGAATCTTCAGCCACGCGGGTTCGGCATGCTCTCGTTAAATTCACAAGAGATGGATTGCTTTAACTACACAACACCGTCTCTTAGCACATGTTTTATTGCCAAAGGTAGGTGTGTATATACATATCGACAAAGTATGCTACTTAGCGAACGTCGCAAAGGCGTTCTCTGACTTGTACGATGTATTTCCGTCGATGAACTCGAGGCCGCGAGTCATTCTTCAGAAAGAGAGAGAGAAAGAAAGAATGAGAGAGAAACGGACTTTGTTCCTGATCCTTCGTTATTTACAGGATATATATTGATATTATAATCTGCAGAGAATATATAGAACCTGTATCACGCGAGAAAAATCATGTACCGAAAGAGAAAAAAATTTCCGCTGGAAATTTACATGCGAATTTTCAATCGACGAACGACAGAAAACGAAAAAAAAAAAAAAAATTAATAAAAATTATAACGTGACGAGCCGTATTACAACAAGTGTTCCTCACCAAATCCGACATGCGGCGGCAATATAATGCGCGTGTGCAAAGTTAAATTACCGCCTTCCTGAATTTCTACACAGTTTCTTCGTCGCCCGCGACGTGTTCGCGCCAGCGAATCTTTCTCATTATCGGACATGATTTGCACAAGATCTCCCTCCCAGCCACATAAATAACGTAATAATAATATCTCGTACATCTTATAAAAATGATTGTACGCGTATGATTACACACAAATTACACACCCTGACGTATATTTTGCACACCTTAAACAATTTCCATTTAATGTATAACTCACATACTCTCAAATTTGCAACATTATTATAATATTTTTTTAAATTACAATTCCAGAAACTTCCGCGATCAAACGAGTGATGCAGAAAAGAGTCAATCCTGATGTAAACTGATATTTCACTAATCGAGGCGTTGATTGCTCGCCAACGTCAAAACTCACACATTTACTTTGCACAAATAATTCGTTCGTGTTTACAAATTTTACGTAAATGACAATATTTAATTTATTCTACGTATGTATAAAGTCGACATTTCAATCGATTGATCAAACGCACTCGTCTAACTCTGATTTTAATGTATTGTTAATGCTTAATTAACTATTAACTTCGAAACTAACATCGTTCGAAATTGAGCTATCATGTGAAAGACGCGCAACCAAGTTAAACATGTCTTAATTTTCGACACCACGTTGATACCACCGTTCTACGATTTACAATTGAAATTAGCTTCGGCAAAAAATAGAAAGAATATGTACAATCGGTTAAAAAGTTTACTCTTATTTATGTCAAGAGTTACATATGGGCTTATTCAATTTTATTTTTCCTAATTAAAAATCAATTCGAAGTCGCGTTCATTACTTAAATGTGACAATTCTCAATTTGGAATTCCGATCTTCTATATTTATCAAACTTTTTATTTTTATTCTCTTCACCTTTATTTTAATAACTTATTCGCGGTTATATATTTGTCTGATTGTATCAAATACGTACATTTTCTATTAAGAATTTCCTATTAAATGCAGCAGAGTATCCCAAGAATGCCGGAATTCAATCGCGTTGAACGTACATAGCTACCGTTTAATTTCAATCACGATTAATTTGTTGTTATATCATTCGATCACTTGTTCTCTCCGAGAGTTGTTCGATTTAGTGGCGTCGACCGCGCGATTACCGTAACGCGTCGCATACCGGAACCATTAAAGTAGGTCACTGTCATGTGCTGACGGGCGTCCGGCCGGCGTCGCGGATCGACGACCGGCGTCCCGTTCGTACGGAATCACAGGAACGATCTCGATAAATTCACAAACCGGGAACGCGGAGTCGACAATACGGCGAACTAAAAGGAACTGGCCCCGCGACGAAACGGCGCGCCGTCGATTTCTGTCGGCTCGGGCTTCGACTCCTTCCTCCTCCTGCTTGCTGCTGCTGTTGCTGCTGCCGATTCGCGATCATCGCCGACGTCATCGTACGCGATCATCGCCACCGCTGCCGTCGCCTTCGCCTTCGCCTCCCTACTGTATGACGTCATTCGCGAGCGCCGGATGCTGTCATCGTCGTGTCCGCGATCGCTCGCGAGATGAGAGGATCTGTTCGACGCCCGCAAGTCATCTCGACGAGTTATGTTCCGGTTTGTGTCGAACACTTTTACGTGTTAGGATTCTTCGTGTCAACTCATATAAGATTTAGAACTTACATACATTCTCTTGTTTCGACATTTCTGGAAAGTTACATATAAAATATTAAAGACTCGGTTAAAAAAAAGTCGAGAATATTTAAGTGACATTTCGACAATAAAAAAATAGAAAATAATATTTGATTCATTTAAAGTTATCACACAGCACACGTTTTGGGTGTTGCACATAAATAGATACGCAATAACAAACACCTAAATTTACTTCTGATAAATGTATGTTATGCTGTTACGTGCTGTGTGCAAGACCGAGGAAAACTGAGGTTCTGCGAACATGCAATCACGATTCGGCACGATCACTTGAAAGAGGATTTCCTGGCGCTGGGTCATCGTATCCTCCCGTCGTAGATAGGAGGAAGAGAAAGAAATGGAGAACGATGTATCGCGACCTCCTCAAGGTAAACTTCGCGTGCCATCTTCGGACACAAATTCGCGAATGTCGTTTTAATTCGCGTCGCATTTTATGCAGTTAATTGACGGCGACGAGTTCGTCGCTGCCGGTCGACCATGTCTCTCTGTCGCGAAAATTAACTCAATCATCATTTTATAATAATCTTGGAATAAACGATTAGAGCAAGAGAGAAAACCTTCTCTAAAACGTTAAATAATTAATAAAATTCAAGCAAGTTGGAGAAAAAACTCGATCTTTCGGATAATTTTATTACGTTTAGAAATGCCACATTTTCGTTTATTTATTTGACTTGAGGGAGAGAACGGAGGAATTGGAGTATCCGTATCGAATTTTAAATTCTTTCGGGTCTCACAGAAGATTCAATCCGCGTGGAACACGTGCGTCAATGCCCTTCTGCTAAACGAGGACTTAGACGTGAATGAACGGCCAACTTGTATTTTGCGCGATGAAATTTCTGCGAGTGAGTGCCCCCCTCCCTTTTCCAATAATGCTCGCAGGGCCGTAATTAACATCTCAGAGACAAGATAAATAGACATGTTACAAAATAATCTCGGTCTTATTAAATTTGTTTGTAATAAAAACTATGTCTCAAAATAAATTAAAAATATATGTAAATTCAACATCTACTTTCATATTTGAATTATGACTCGCAATTAGTTATCTATCTATGTGAATTATGAGAAAAATTTCATATTTTCATTTCATGTTTGCTTCACGAAACTGACTCTTTATTTATTTGTTTATCATAAAAAGAAATTTTATTATTTTATAGACAATTTAGTTTAATTATATTTATATATTCTTTACTTATCTAGTGAAGAAAAAAGGAATCTTGTGTTTGCACCATGTTTATCGCTGAGTTTCAGCTTGCTACCGGCCTGTGCTATCAGGCCGAGCCTTCGTCACGGCGAACGAAGGTATTCCGGACGTCGCCGTTACGGACCCCTTCTGTTAACCTGGCCCAGAAACCGAGCCGGAACTGTCGGTGGAATCAATGACCTTGGCGCGTGAGCTCCGTTCATAGCCACCGACCTCGAGAAGAAAGTTTCAAGAGCTTTCAGCGACGATGACCTCGTCGATTCTAATTTCCGCATTGAATGTTAATTGTCATCATCTTTTACATAAGTTCTTTTTATAAAGAGCAGCAAAGTTAGAAATAAAATCAGTTCTCAAGAATAGTATCTAATTTTTATTTTAATTTCACCATAACTCAATTTTATGCTAATATAAGAAAAAACATTGGATTGTACTTGATTTAAAAGTAAAGAAATATAAATCTTTAATTTTATCGTGAACAGCGATGCAAAACTTTCAAATAGACATTTAAACTAATGTAAAACAAAAATATGGTGTGGTTTATACGTGCAAAATAAAAAACCAAATATGAATGTGAATTTGTAAAATTTTGTTAAGAAGAGGATTTGATTTAATTTTTTTCGCACAAAAATGACGGGAGATCCGACAAAATACTAATTATCAAAGTGAAATTTGATTTTTCGCGTGATGTGAAATAAAATCACGCTAAAATTACGCAGTAATTTGGTTGACGCATCGTGTCCGGCATGCATGACGTGTACGTATACACTCTCTTGCCGCAAGAATGCGAATTTCCATCGGCAGCTCTATCCACCGTGAGATCGCATTTAGAGATCCAGGCCAGTTCCGCCTCCTCTCGAAATCCGCCATACGTTGTCCTGCTCCGTAATTTCTCTCTTTGGCAGCGTCACATTATTTGCGCGAACGCCAAGTCCAAACGCTACTTTCTTTGTACATACCATTCAATATTAAGACGACAAGCTACCTGAGTTTTATTTATTGTCAAATAATCTCGATGAACACAAAAACACATCTTTTTTAAGACTGAAATTTATGTACTCAATAGTTCAGTGCGTTTTGAATACCTAAAAATAAGTAAACATCATAAAAAGTTAAGGGTAATATTTATATAATTTATCGATATATGTATATATATGTGTATGTATTAACAAGAAAAAAAATAAAAAACTATAATCTAAATCTTATACAAAATATGATGTGCTCAAAAGCCTTGGTTGAGGTTAACAACACATAAAAGTTCCTATATAATGTATATGATATATAATGTAAATGCATGCATCATATAAAAAAGATAATTTTGTTACATCTTGAATTTCTCATTAAAAAAACTAGAACTTCGACTCACCAAGAAATTTCGATTTTGAACTTAGTAAACGTCCATATAAAACACCTAATAAAGAAGATTTAAATACTTTACTCACATAAATGACTTGCGGACGATCGAAGATTTAAATTTACTTCTTCCGTTAATCTGCAGATGGCGCGTATGTGCAATACTTGTCACGTGAGGTAAACAGCTTATGTGACACAAATTACACGCCGGTTTTAAGAAAAGAGGCGTACGGATGTGATCACGTGTCGAATGTAAAATCTATTCTCAGACTTAAATAAATTCGTAATTTCTTTGAATAATTAACGGTCATGACAAATATAAACTGTTGCGTTTGTGGAAAAGACGTTGCGCCTTATAAATGTCCGAAATGCAGACAACCTTAGTGAGTAAATTTGAAGGTTATGTTTTAATAATTATCTCTTTAAAAAAAAATAATTATTTCTCTTTTTGTTGCAGCTGCTCCGTCGCATGTTGCAAAAATCACAAGATTCAACCCTGCACGTCTCCGGAACTACCTGACAAATCCCAAGAACAACGTGTCGCTGAACAAAATTACAATTTTCCGACAGAGGATACCGTACCTCAAGAAAAGCTGCAACAGTTGCGTCATAGCGAAGATCTGAAAGAATGCTTGAAAAATCCTCACGTGCGTGACATTATGAGAGGAATTCTGAATAGTTCAAATCCTACTGAGGCTATAGCATTAGCTATGACCGAGCCGATATTTGTGGAAATGGCCGATATCTGTTTAAAGATCGTAGAACCGTTGGATGAGTACAATTCACATTGAGTGACCTTCGAGTCTGCATTTGTGTACTGGATGAAACTGTGATGTGTCAAAAAAGACGTTCTGCTTTAAGATGTAAGTTCTGTAAATATATTTTCACATACATTGCAGATTGTATAAAAATATTGACTTGTGTACATAGAAATCCATGTTTTTTCTTAGTAAATGTACAAATGAACAAATATTAAGAAAATAGGTAAAAAATTATGAGAATTGTACAAAGATTTTATTATATTTTCATACAAATAAAAATTAAGCAAGCGTTTTAACAAGATGATAAAATGAAGGATATGAATCTCCCTTGTCTGATTTTTTTTTCTAGAGATTATATATCAGGTGATTATATATTCATGTATGTATAAGTTCTATATTAAGTTATCGGTGCAATCTTTATGTCGTACAAAAGAAACTAAGATGATTTTATTTCGTCAAAAGTCAGTCAAGACTTCGTGCAAACCAACACTTATATCCTTGTCTTTTTTTTCTTTTTTAACTCAGCCCAAAGCCCGAGTGTTGAGAATAGTAGGCATAGAAGTCATCGGAAATATAATCTTCAACGTCATTTGGTATCTGTGCACCATCAAGTATGATTGAAAGGGCGTGATATCTTCTTCTGACATGATGAGCTGCCATTTTCGGCTGTCTGTCTCTCGTGAAGATTCCCTTTTTATTGCCACCCACTCTAGTAAACGCTAGAATGTGTACATGCATATATGAATATTTTTAATAAAACTTGTTCCAAACCAATTTGTTCAAAATTCAAAGTCGCTACAAAAATTTAATACAAAGTCGGCACAACAATCGATATCACAATTTTCTTCAATACTCACTTTGCGCAGTACGAAAATCGGCGAAATTCCAGATAAACTCGCCGATGAAGAAGCCTTTTTTTCGCAATCGATCGAAAGCTTCGAAGTGTCTAGAGAACAATTCTTTCTGATATTCTTCGCTCCATACATATTCTGGTAGCTGCAACAGATAGAAAAGTGATATTACAGTGTTGTGGTAATACTTTAGAAAACGATGAAATAAGTACAACAAAGATTACCTCGTGCAGACCGGGCATAGTATCAGCACCGTATTCGGACATGAGTACCGGCTTGTTGTACTTTTTATGCCAAGCTTCGGCTTCCCCTTCAACTCGGTCGATGATCATGTCCATTCTGCCGGCATTGCTGTACCAGGCGTTGTAACGATTGAAGCTAATCACGTCGAGAAACTCACCAGCTTTGTCCTCCTAATTACAATTTACAATAAATTGTTGTGTACAATAAATTACATAAACAATTACAATAAACATTATTTTATTTTATCCACAAAAGTATTGTCAGGAGAATGTTGAAAGTAAGTCATAGTTATTATTAATATTTTGTATATTTATTTTATTATAATTGAGCAATTAGTTTTTAAATATATTTTTTTGTTTTCATAATTTGTAACGTTTTAATCTTTTGTATGCTCATTTATTGTAACGTCACCTGTACTCCACGAGCCAGAGCTATTGTGACTGGCCTGGTAGGATCGACTGCCTTGGTGTGTAAAGCGATCTGCTTGAAGTACTCCTCGGCTTGAGGCAGCTGAGTCCTCGGTTCGTTCGCCAAGGACCACATGATCACCGAGGGCCGGTTCTTGTCCCTGCGGATGAGCTCCGAGAGCGAGTCCTTGTGGCGTGAGAGCAAAGATGGCGAAAAGTTCTCCGTGTCGACAGAAGGACATTCGTCGATCACAAGGAAACCCAATCTTAAAGACAAAATTTAATAAAATAGAAGGGGACAAAAAAACATACATGTGAGAAAAAGATGAAATTAAAAATCTATGGTGAAAACTCTCGATACCTGTCGGCCATGTCGAGGACTTCATCGCTATAAGGATAGTGGCTGGTTCTGTAAGCATTAGCACCGACCCACTGAAGCAGCTCGTGGTCCCTCACAGCAGTAACGAGATCAAAACCACGTCCTCTGATGATCGAATCCTCGTGCCTGCCGAAACCGCGCATATACACCGGTCGGTCATTCAGCAGAAGGCTTGTGTTGTTCCACGCCAGAGTTCTGATGCCAATCGGCAACCGATAGATGTCCACTTGAGTAGAGTTTGCTACTGACAGTTTCACCTAAAAAGTAAGATGTATTATTTTAACAAAGCAACTTGGTATTTGAACAATTTGTTGATTTGAAACACATCAGAAAGATAAATATTGCACATAGTGCTTTTGAGACAAAAAGATAGTTGTAGGTTTATTAAAGAGATTTCTTATAGAAATCCAAACCTCTAAAGTATACAGGTATCCTGGCTTAGGATTCATGCCTCTGGGCCACCAAAGTCTAGCAAACGGAACTTTCAAAGTTCCGGATAAACCGTAAACGGGCTCCTTGATCGCCAAGGCATCGTCATTATCGTGCAAAGTAACTCTGCAGATTACTATTTCTCCCTCACGCAATCCGGCCGGTTGTATGATGTACTTGACTATTCCGATGTCGCCGATCAAGCTGGTTCTCACCGTGATATCCTCAACGTAAACGTGTGGCGTGGTATACAGCAAAACAGATCTTTAAATTTTTTTTCAAATTATTGCGAAGTGAAAGTACACACATAGGTATTCAGTTTGAAAATAAAACTTTGGCAAAAAAAATTATCTAAAATTATGGTGAGACATACGATCTAAATTATCGCGTAACGCACCAGATGATCTCTCTTGTTTGTTCACAAAGCCTTCTGATAGATAGAAATCTATTTGTGACGAGTGAAATCGCGCGTCGCTTCAGGGAACTCAAAAAGTATCGCAACAGGAAATTTAAAACAACGTGATGTCACACGTGTCGCGTAGTTATTTTCTTTGATTGTTCCAACAGAATAAAAAAATATTTTTTAAAAATGGTTTTTATTTTATTTCAAAAATGAATAAGTAAGATGAAAGAAAAATTAACAGAACTGGCATTTTTGCGCGAATTTAATTAATTAAAACAGTTAATTAAATGTTTGAAAAATTAATATTTATAACTAATTAAATAAAATTGAATTTTAGCTCGATTTCTTTGGTCTATCCACCTGTGTATTCCGGCGTAGTTGAAAAAGTCGAAAGTATAAGTTTGCACATGCACAGTGCCGTTGTCGGAGACCATCTCCACGATTTTACCCTGAGGTACGCTGGTCTGCAGCAGGGTGTTATCCACGGCAACTGTGATGCGGTTCTTGCCACCGAAGCTTACGTACGACGAGATCTCCGCTTCGAAAGGCAAGTGACCCATTTCGTGATTCGTCACCAAGGCGCTGTTTACCCACTGAATACAGTTGAACTCGTCAAGACATTAGAGAATATATATAATATTTTTTCATATTCTTTCGAATCATTACAATTATATTTCATAGAAATTAATCTCCATTTATGTTTAAATGAAAGAATTCAATTGCTGTGTTTTGTAGACCGTTTTCTTATCTTAACATTTCCTCATTTTCGAGAGTCTTTGAACGAACGACAAGCAAGTATCTTCTGTCCGAAAATAAGTGCTTACCACTTGGGCGAGATAGTTGACCGAACCGAATCTGACGAAAACACGTTGATCCCGCCAGGAAGAAGGTACGAAGAAAGTTCTCTGGTACCAGACAGGGCCGACGTGATCCCGGAGTTGCCGCGATGTTGTGATGTCATTGTAAGACGAGGGTACCGGCATCTTTATCATCTCCTCGACCTGCAAAGGCGACCAGGTTTTGCGCAAACGGATCTTTGCTAACAAAGTTGACGACGAGTAGCGTGCAATTACGCGAGATTATAAGACGCAAGTGACTTTTACGCAATGCAGACAGGAGCGTATAAATAATACAAAAATATATGTGTGTGTATGCAAATTATCTTCATTAATTTTAGCAGCTCTGATTTAAAACAGTAAAAGTCAAAGTCTGTTATTTATCAAGTTTTAAGCTTGTAATAATTTGCATAATATAGTTTACTGCTTAACGCGCGTGTACACACCATTTATAATATTCATTAATATTTAATAATATTAATATTTACATTATTAATATTTGATAATATATGATATTTAATATATTATTAATATTTATATAATATTTAATTATTATTGTTTTATGTATTTTATAAATTATCATTATATAATACCGTTGATAAGTCGTCGTTAAACCACGATTCTCTGTAACCCCTTAATGCATCTCCTTCAGGCGACACGACAAAGTCCCATAATCCATCGAGCGATCGAACCTGCAAGAATATGAGATCCCTTTCTAATTCGCGATAGAAGCGTGAAAACCGGACTGAATTAGACTCTGGTTAGGTGGCGTTTAAAGGACAGACATGACGTCGCATCACGTAAGAGATTTACCTCTCGAGATTCACTTTCTCTGGGATACAGCAGACCAGGAAGCGGTGTCGGAAATGCCTCCTTATATGGCAATGATGTTTCGGTTGACGTTTCGGGATACTCGGACAACGGTTCCGAACCGGACTCACCGGCCATCACTGTGCCGAGCAGCAAGAAGATTAAGTGCCACATTCCTTTACGAATCTCCTAGATAAAGAAATCCACAGTCGTGTTCGTGTATTCAGGATCTTAAAACTTTATGATTCGACAGAGATAAGATAAGCAACTATTAGACACACAAAACAAAATTTAAGACTGTATAAAGTAATTTGATGAATTTTTCCAGAGAACACAATCGGTTTTCTTTAACGGTTTTACAATTTAATTAGCAATAATTAAAATTGCATCGTGACAAAATTAATTGCTATTGTTAAGATTGTTGTATTAGTGTTCATTTTTTATGAACAACGTAATATAATAATTACAAATGCAAACACATACATACACACACACACACACACACACACACAACCAACTCATGACATATAAATCTTTTCTGTGAACTTATTTAGCATAAAAATGATACTCAGATTTATTCATCGTTTATGTAACCTTATCTTGTGTCAAACTGAACTGTTAGTTATCACTCTCGTTGCCTGTTTCTAAGTAGTTCATGACAAATGACCCTCCTTCTTCATAATGCAGAGTCATCTATTACATGACCGCGTGAATATTACGTATATATTTGGTCAAAAGAAGGTCAAGAAGAAGAAGATACACATGCATGTTCTGAAAATATTGTATCTAAGAAATTAAAAGCTGTCAGGCATTGAGACATTTATGAAGCTCAATCTATATACATATAAACAATCTATATACGTAATATGTTACATAAAATACTCAACTATATACACAATAGCGTATTATCAGTGCTCACTTACGTTTACAGTGCGTCTTTTAAAATCGACTAGTCGCGGCAGCTGACTGCAATCGACTAACAGAAAAGCGTTGTGTTCTCCTTCAGTGATGAATTAAAGAACTTGCATTGTCTATTAAGGAATTTCTGACACGCAACTTCTTCTACAACTTTGTGCGCTGAACACGTTTTGATAACATTGTTATCATTGACATAAGTGTTTTTAAAAAATCGCTTATCGCAAACTCAATATTGATCTTTCAATATTATCATCGCGAACAACATAATAATTGCCCAATAATGCAAAAATAATTACATTACTTATTATATTTATTATTTGTCTGATTGTTTTCAGTAAAAACATCTTTCCCGGATCTTCTTACAGTTTTACATGATCTTCGAACAAAAGTTAATCGGAAAGGCTGTTCGAGTAATGAGCCGGTCGCACCCGCACACACATACACTTCTCGTTCGCAGCAATATCGGCTTCCTGGCACGGTGCCCTCCTACGAGAGCAGACTTCCCTTCCCAAAGCATCAAATCGTTTCCTCGTGTCGCGCGTGTACAGAGTTACCACAGCACTGGTGTCCCTAATTTCCTCGAATAGACACCATTGTCCAGGCCTGAACTTAACACTGGATAATAATGCTTGGAGAACCGCAACTTCGTCTCCCAACTAATCGAAAGCCTATCACGCCAAGAAATGTTTCCAATTGGTATTTATCTCATTATTAGCAATTTTATTTATATTTAGTTGCATTACTTAGCGAACAAAACATCACAAAGAGAGAAAACATTAGAATTAAGATTTCAAATTAAATGTAAATAATTTTTAATTATGTAAAATTTGTATTAGTTACACTTTCTCTGTCTCTCTTCTTTTCCTTCTCTTTGAATATACAATTGCTGTCTATTATTCTAACAGCAAATCATCTCTATTCTTACAATAACTATCAATAAAGTTTCTAAGAGTGGCCTTGTTTCTTCGCGATTTCTCTCGATTTGCGCGCGCGAGCATAGATAATTTGTAGACCCAATTTCGCATTCGAGATAATTGATCCGCGAAAGCCGAAAGATTTTTTAAAACAAATGATTGCATGGACATTTTTCCGCGCGCACACATTTTCACGGTACTCACCGCACGGTTATTTAACACCGATATATATATTATATATATTCATAGTGAATGTGCGGTGGGGAACATAAGAGGCGTGAGATGAAAATAGTGCGAAAAGTATTATAATGATATAATGATATAATGATGCAAAAATATTCTTATTGATAATATTTGATCATTATATAGAATAAGGTCAGATCTTTATTTTGTATAGTATTTTACATTTTGTTTGTGGAAGATCATTTTATTTCAAAGAAAAACACTTTACAAAAATTAAAAACTATTATACACAATTAAGTTTTGTAATATAGTTACTTGTTAAATTGGATTATAGAAAAGAATTTTAAATATTGTGTGAAATTGCAGGTGTATTTGCGAAAATGTAGGAAATTGCGTTGCAGAGCGTATAAAAGTATTGTTTGCCAAAATTACGGGTTTTCAGTTGAAATTGATAAACTTATTGATTTTCATCCGATGGAGAGAAAAAGTATAAATAACTTTTTCATTGTTAAATTACTAAAGCAGGACAACACACACATAAAATGATTTCTTATTAACAATTATCATTACATACAGTTTTGAGCGCGCGCGTGATGATTTAGGAATAATTTTCTCCAAACGTGAGTATCATTATTTTATATGTAGAATAATATTTGTACATATAAAAACATAATAATTTAAAACTTATCAAATTTATCGTTGAGTGTTTTTTTGTTATAATATCTTTGAATCTTTGATTACATGTTGACTGAATGTGATCAAACGAGCTTGATATAATCATGATGAAAAAGTCCGATCATAATCTACAGATGTTTTTAATTAGATGACACTTTATCAGAGATATATTAATACAAGTATTATGCAATCAAATAAACAGATAACGTAAATAAATCTGTGTTGCACGTGTAAGATATCAGTGTGAATTATTCAAACGTAATTTATCGGATAATATAAATGTAAATAATATAAATTTGGTGATAGAACAACTAAATGTTTTTTATTATCAATTTTATTTCTTTTTTTATTCCTTTTGTTTGTTTTGCAAATTGCGTATGTTATTATGAAACAACAAACCTTACAGTGGTCGCTTCGTTCTATTGCGAATCTAGTCACAGCATCGGAAGACAAGTTTCTGAAAATTGGAGTGGCTTCAATCATCCCGATCTAATCAACCGCAATCTTAATGGTGTAGATTTTTTTTCCACAAACTTTACGATGTTTGCGACGTCTTATGCTTTGTTTTGTTTTTTTATATATATTTTTTTTTTATAATTACGTTTCTTCTTATTCTATTTTTTTTCTTCTTATTTTATATTCGATTCCATTTGGTCTAATTGAAACAGTGTCTTCTAATTTGACTCTTCTTTCTTCTTTGCACTGTAATTTACGTTTGCTCACTTGGTTCTCAGCTTAGCATGTCGAACCAAAATTTTTCTATTTCGATTACACATGAAGCTTTTTGATTGCGCCATTAATTCCGATTGTAAACTTGATCTTTTTTTTTTCTAGCTGGAAGCACGGAGTGTTCAAATTCGCGCATTAACTCGGATATTGCGGACTGCCGGTGTGCAACATTCGAGCCTGAGCCTCGGGCTCACCGAGCGTGACTACACCGCCTCCGCGCGGCGCCGAGCAGAGAAGAGGTCTGCAGAAACTCGACCCGAAAATCTCGCTCCTCTCCTCCGCGTCTTCGTGCTCTCGTGTTTTCGCTTCACCGCCGTCGAACATCCATGATTGTCTCGTCACCGACGAATAAATCTAAGCACTGGTAAATGAAATTATGAATGATGAAGCAGCGGAATTTTCTTTCCTCCAGGTTCGCCTTGAAATGTTGGCATTGCGTATTTTTATCTTATTTGAAGTAAAACTGTTGTCGTTTGCCACACAGTACACGTGTGATTATCTCTATAGTTTCTCGTACGTGCTTTGCATCTTTTCACAATAGATAACCACTGATATTGTTGTATTATTCACTGTTTTAGAAGTAGTCTTTAGTAGTCTCTATGGTCTACTGTCAAAAAAAACACACGCACATAAAATGAAACGCTTAAAACTTTACAACCAATTTTTGAAAAATAATATAATCGTCTAATTTATATCTAATCACCTTTTACATTAATAAAAGTAAAGTTTGAACTTCGATTGTAATAATTCTAAAATTTTTATAATTACCAATAAAAATTAAGTGACGAAATTTAGCGAAAGTAATATTTTCTCACAACGGCGGCAATTCTCGCGTATTTCTAGTTCCTGGTCCCTCGTTCTTCGACATCGTTGGTGGAGGAGTATCTGCCCTGAGGGACTATCGATGGATGATCTCAGCGATTGCGGAAAGAAATGGCGTACGGAAGGAAGGTGGAAAGAAGGAAACGGCGAGTATATACTCGGGTTAACGACCAAAGCGGCGGGGAGTTCGATGGTCGATAGCGTTGTGCAGCGAGCAGGATCGTCTAACTATGTGTGTATAACGTATCTTTCTTTCGTTAAAAAAAATAAATAAAAAAAAATACATAAAGTGTAAGACGCGATTACTGGCTGGCAACTTAATCCTATTTCAAATCCATCTTTTGATTGATTACGGTCTGATAAGAGATCGATCTTTAGAACATAATCCTTAATCCTTAAGAATCTCTATCTTAATTGAGTGAAGTATATACAGGGTGTTTCAGAACTATGGGATCAAACTTCTAGGGGTTATTCAGTGCAACAGTAGAAAACATTTGAGTATAGGGACCCATGTCCGGAAA